GTAGTAGTAGTCACAACAAGTTTAAACAAGCACAAAGAAAAGGCCAGGGACACAGGATCAAATTAATAGGGGGTAGTAGTGCAGATTATTGATGGGGGACCGGCCCTTGTGAGGGGTACCCTTTGTGAGCTTGTCAAATGATTGTTTTTAATTGTTTTTTTAATAGGGCAATTTATAGGCCGCCCTGAGCCCTAGACATTTTTAAGGATTTCATCAAACATGTAGTAGGTAGTAGGTGGTGATGGTGGTGGTGGTGGGTGGTAGTAGCAGTAGCAGTAGCAGTAGCAGTAGCAGCAGCAGCAGCCAGCAGCCAGCGGCCAGCGGCCAGCGGCCAGCGGCCAGCAGCCAGCAGCCAGCAGCCAGCAGCCAGCAGGCAGCAGCAGCAGCAATAGCTAGTAGCAGTAGCTAGCAGTAGCAGTAGCAGTAGCAGTAGCAGTAGCAGCAGCAGCAGCAGGAGCAGGAGCAGGAGTAGTAGTAGTAGTAGTAGTCGTAGTCGCAGTAGTAGTAGTAGTAGGAGTAGCAGTAGCAGTAGCAGTAGCAGGAGCAGCAGCAGCAGCAGCAGGAGCAGTAGCAGTAGCAGTAGCAGTAGTAGTAGTAGTAAAACAAAAAATTGACCTGGTTGTGGGTTCGGATTAACTGGAGGGGATTGTTGGTAGAAAACTAGACCATAGGGGTGGAAATCAACAGCCAATAATACTTTTAATTTGGGCAATTTCCGGCGGCTTTGTGGGCTCGGATTAACTAGGGGGGATTTATTAATCCTAATTTGACATTACGAGAGAACTTCAATACCTCCACAGCTATGGACTTCTAGCTCTCAGTTGGTTGTCTGGTCACACTTGGTCCCCAACTGCTATTGGTCGACCATCCACAGCTACCCCACGTTCAAAGTCCACAGGGCGGTCGACGGTCGACTCGTTGGTGCAGCAGGCGAATCCTGATCCATCCTGATCCATCCATCCATATCCATCCATCGTTCAGAGGAGTACGTGGAGCGGGCGAACGAGAAATGCATCCTCCACTTACGCTTTTCTCAAAACGAGTCAAAACCCGAACAAGCCCTTCTGCGTGGCTCAAGATAGGGGACACCCCAAAGACGTCTAGGAACAACACATAACAAAACCAACAACAAACAAACGAGAATTGAACGCGTCTTTTGCTTCGAACCCTACCCAGAAATAGGATCATGTCTTTTAGATGGCCAACATCCTGGAGTGCTGTGGTCACCAGCAGCAATGGATACTTGGCCCCATAAAGCCCAACACCATCCAAAGTCCAATTCAAATGGCGCTCCATGTTTGAGATATTTACTTGCATTAGGAGTGGTTTACGTGAGTCAAGCCAGGTAAAACAATGACAAACATCACATGGAGCTCCAATAGCTCCTCTACTCTATGATTCCAAACCAGGTAAACCTCATCTATGCAGAAGACCTCATGGTGTTCCAAACGAAAACTCTCGCTGTTTCAGGCGCTAAACTTGGTCCAACGCAGCTCTTGTTGTGCATTTCTCGCTGCTTCTGTTTCGCGGACCTCGTGAACCTCACTGTTTCCCGGTTGCTTCTCTCTGCCCAGTTGCTTCAAGACACTGCTGGGCATGTAATCATCTCCAATTCCGAAAGATGACCTCAGAGACTCCCCGATCTGACGGTTTCATCGTCAAAGACATATACTGACCAACCTTCCGAACCAACAAACTAGACTACTCAAGAAGATCGCAGCCATGGCACGATAGGTTCATTAACATCTGTCAGTCCATGGCACATCAGGAGACAAACAACATGGACGGATCCTTGTCGCATCATGGCGCTTCTCTTGGGGGAGCGGGTGGCACGCAACGACCCCACTGCGGATAGCAAAACACGGGCTATCAAGTGGACACAATTGGGATGGGAAAGAGTGAATAGAACACCTTTCATACCTGGGGCGGTCATTTCATTGGAAAGAACTGAACATATAAATATGGAGTTGTGTGTCTTAAGACACGTGGCACTCTTCGTGTGGCACTTCACCAAAGCGCTTCTCTTCATGTTCGACCCCGGGTCCCGGACGGGTCCCTCAAAAACAGTCGGCACCCGGCGGTTGGGACTCCCAAGAGGCAAAACCACCAACCGCTCCACCTTGGCTTTCTTCATCGCCGCCACGATCTGCACGGTAGGCTGGTGGGAAACCACGGGTCGCCGCCAGGATTGTGCTTTGCAGGTTTCCACATCGTCACTGAAAGGTTTCAATAAAGATAATAAAGGCTTCAGCACTTGTTTGCAATACTTTACACCAGCATCACCTGAACAGATTTGGAGAATTCCTGAGATGCCCAACGCAACACAAAACCACAAACCACTCCTTCACGCACCCATCCGTAGCTTCAACTCAACCCGCAGGCAAAAGCATCGCCTGCCACGCAGACAAATCTCCCGCACCTTCCGCGCTCCAATGGTGCAAGTGGTGGCAATGCCGCCTTGAAAACGCCACGAGTTTTGGAATCGGGATGCCTTAAATGACTCAAGTTGTCAGGTCAAGGGTAACCTGGAAGGCTATAGAAAAGCTGTAAGATGGGCTTGGTATATGTCAACAGTGAGGTTCCTTGGGTCAATGGTCCGTCTCTGCCTCTTTCCCTTTCCCTTAGGGTCAGGTCACCTCAGGTCACCTCTCTTTCAATGCAGACGCACAAATATATAGATTCAAACAGATTGGCCCTCACAACCTTGCCATTCCAAAACCCTATACAGTCGTACCGAACCTCAGGTTCGGTACGACTGGGCCCTCCAAACCTACATGCATAACAGTGTCTCCAATCAGCGTGCCTCAGAGGGTATGTGGATCCCTAGGGAAAGGGCAATAAAGAATCACTTGAGATGCGCACGGTTGCTTGTTCCACATCCAGCTCTTGTGTCCATTGGATCATCTTGGATTTGCTGCTCCTGTCCTTCCTCCGGGAAAAACATCTTCCCGAGGTGGGGGATTCACCCAGTGAACCGGGAAAAGACCAATCACCGGATCAGAAATCTCCTGAGAAGGTGGTTGGGGTGGGTTTGGGTGGGCTAACCACCTCCTGAGGAGATGGTTGGAGCCCTTAAATTCAATCAAATTCAACACCCGTGACACTGGTCCAATCAAACGATGGCATCTTTGCATATCTTTGCATTGGAAGATGTCTTTTCGTTTTCCATGGAAATTCCCACAAAGACCATCGGTTGGTGTCTTCGGTCGAAGGCGCTCTGGCGACTGCCGGGGCATGCAATCACAGCATCCACACCACTGAAGATGGTGGCCAAGGACTCCTCGAAGCGTTCGCACGCAGAAACCACGAAGCGTGGCATCGGACCGTACCGTGGCACGAGATGGATTTTCGATGATTTTCGTACCGTACCGCAGGTTCGAGTGCTTCTTAAGAGCTCACATGAGCTCGAATCCTCGGAACCGTCCGGAAGATCTGGATTTCGGGCGGAAGTCCGGAGAGACCGGCGCAGGGGACATGACGATCGCCTTCGACGGAGGGACATGTGGGCTTAACCAGGAAGACCTGACGGCTGGAGACTTGCGGAAGAAGGGGGTCAAAAGAGAAGCCTAGCCAGATCTAGCCAGCCTAGCCTTCTCTTTGACCATGAAACGAGTATGAGTTTAGGGATTCACCTGAGATCGACCTGGTGACCGGGTACCAAATCCTGGGCTGCTACTGCTGGCCCGGCCCATCGGCACAAATCCACCCGACCAACCCCCCAAAAGCATGCACACCGAACCTCCGAAACCGGAGGGGGGAGGGCGGCCGAACGGAGCCCGACAAGGCAAACCAGCTAGCTTTTTCGACCTCCAGTGCTGAGACTCGTGAGAATCGGTGAGTTGTGCCACATGAGCGGCTGATTTCGGGGGTGAGAATGTGACTGACATCCCCGTATACCGGTCCTCACTACCACGGTCCCTGTTGAGACCTGGTGCCAGCTCCAAATGTCGATTCAGTTGGTCTTTGTAAGTTTGATGCTTCAACACTGAAAAGCGCAAGCACTGACCACCTGATAATCTCATTTGCTTATACTCTGAACATAGTTGGTGAACTCGCTGCCGGTAATACACCCGAAGGCACTGGAGTGCATGATGCATGTGAAAAAACAATCTGGTGGGCACTAGCTTGGGTACTTCCGGGTACCTTTTGTCATTCTGTGCAAGAGGACTTCTCACCTTCCTGCCCTCCACAGATCAGTCCTGTTCCAAAACCACGCATTCCAAGAACCCTGCACAGCTGCGGCAGCTGCACAGGTTGCGATATATTTTTTCTTCCAGCAGCTCCTAGTCTAGTCTCCTAACAAGTGGCCATTCTGAGCCGATCCGCAAAGTAGCCAAGAACACTCCTCAACCGCAGCATCTACTGTGTCCAAACAACAATAGCATACCTTCCAAATAGCGGCACTCAGAAACTCCAGCACTGTGTAAGCGGCCCCCGCTTCTTGCAACAATCTCACAACTTCTAAGTGGCCTTTCTCGGCTGCGATACGCAAAGCCGTTGCCCCATCTGCATTCTCCGCATCTTTGTCTGCTCCAGCCTCGATCAACAATCGCACAACTTCAAAGTGGCCGTGCAGGGCTGCGAAGTGCAAAGCTGTGGTCCCATCATTTGTCTTTGCTGCATCTGTGTCAGCTCCAGCCTCTAGCAACAATCGCACAACTTCGAAGTGGCCATGCAGGGATGCGAAGTGCAAAGCTGTCGTCCCATCATGTGTCTTTTCTGCATTTGTGTCAGCTCCAGCCTCCAGCAACAATCTCACAACTTCCAAGTGGCTTCCTTGGGCTGCAAGGTGCAATGCCGTTGCCCCATAGGCATTTTTTGCATCTTTGTCAGCCCCTGCCTCTAGCAATAAGCGTACAAATTCAGCCCGGCCGCGATGGGCGGCAATATGCAAAGCCGTGTCTTGGGTTGTTCTGTCTTTCAAATTCGGGTTTAGGGGCAGTTTAAGCAACCTCTGAAATTTGCCCAGCATGTTGTGCTCACAGGAGCTAAGCAGCTGCTGAGCAAGAATCTCGTCAGGTGCACAAAAATTGAGGACAACCAACTGAACGGTTGACATCAACCGTAACGGCATTTCATCTTCTAATTCGATGGCATCATTCAACAGTCTCTGCTGAAACCTTGTATATCCAATGTGAGCAGAAAGGTGTTGCTTCAGATTGCCAACACCTTGCCCCGCTTCCACCATGCAACGCAATTCATCCTCATCAAGTCGGGCAACTGTTGCACCCGACAGTGCAGCTATGATTTCCATAACTACTTGAAACTGAAAAACCCGCTCCAATGTCAAAAACCTCTGGTCGACAAGGGTTGCTTGACATGCTATTAAGACGTGTGACAGGAAAACAAAATGCCCAAAGAAAGAAACAACAACAATAATAAACAGTCGGAAAACAAAAAACACATCGTGCCCTGAGTCAAAGACATTCAAAGACTATACAAGTGGATACGAGCACCTGAAAGGGAAGTTCCTTGTGTCGTTAGACTTCTAGCGTATGGCGAGGCGTTTGCCGGAAAAACAATGACAGCGTCGAGTTTTGTTCTACGACCGATCCCAACAAGAGTCTACAACAACCGCGCTTGCGTAGTCACTCGGGTACTAAGACCCTCTAAGGAGATCGGACATTGGCATTGAGATCCTCTCCTGACTTTATTCGGGTTGCCTGCCTGTAGAGCGGAAACGTGCAATATAGCATCTAGTTGACAACGACTCCAAACTGCTCCAATCCAAGCAATATCAAGTGCCACTTACTAGTCCCTATTACTACGAACTATAGTCACTCTTGATGGAAACTGATGGAAGAAATCCGACACCCACGTGGCCATCAAAATCAACACTCGCATCCGATAATCGCCCTCCAGGCGTCCTCTGCATCCTCGCTCTTGATGTTGACCTTCTTGATCTCGACATCCTACTGCAAACACTCTGTCCCACACGGGATCCTCTGCCACCCTCTGAGGTACGGTGATGTGTTCGACACTGTTATGCCACGTATATGCCTACTGTAGGTAAACCACTGAAACCACATCGCTGTAGGTCAATATGCCTTGCGTGGAGTGTCTGAATATGTGGCAAAGGTGCATTAACTGATGGGCCGGGTTGATGGACGACTGGAGGCAACGAACTTCACCCCACCGACCACTGAGTTCGATCGGATTCTCCGGCCTCAATTGTTCGTCGGACACCGTCCTTCTCAAAGTGGACACTATTTTAAACTCTTCGGAGTACTCAAAAATGATCGTGTCTCTATATTATCCAACTTGCATCCGCACTCAAACCAAGCCCCTCGTGCAATTCACCTGCTTTTCTTCAGGGTGCCCACGTTTTTTTTGCCGCCCGCCTTCAGAGTCTCTTGGAGTTTCTCGGCGCGCGTGGCGGGGAAGACCTCCGTGCTCTCCACACCCGTCGCCGCGCCATCCTAGACGCGTTCGTTCCTCCGTGCTTTGACGAACGGCCGTTCGGGCCGTCGGATCCAACGGACGGAGTCTTCCTGCCGGCGGAAACGGAGGGAGGTCGGCAGCGGATGCGGAATGAAAAGCGGAACATGCACAAACCAGGAACATGGCAACAAGAATGACATGAAAACCTCGCTGCATAGTGTTTTATGTTAATCTTAAGGGGTTACCACCGTTTACTGATTGCGCTGAAGGTGGATGATAAAAGGTTTGGGCTACTTCGTTCCTTGGATTTCTTGGAGATGAAGTGGCCCTGACTCTCGATCCTGACAAGGGTGCGCACGAAAGCTGAAGAAATCTTAGTCTGCCGCTCGCACGTCTGCCGCTAGCCATGACATGTTGGATTCAATTCACGCATACCGAAAAGTCTCGAACAACAAACGTGTTTAATAAGTAGTACCAAGCTGAAGGCCAAGCATTCACAACGTCAAACCAAATCTCACAGCAAAAGATGACGACCCAAAACATTTCTTCACCCAATGTCACACCTAGGTTTTATACCACCAAATTGTGGTACACGTTTGCTACCTTCCCAAAAGCAGTGAGCGCGCCTGTAGCTCTTGTGACCAACTGCAAGTATGCGTACACGTGTGTAAATGACAAACACACTTCTCTCCCTACATGTGTGAAGCATCTGCGAGTTTAACACTTCATGCACAGCTTGCTTCAACTGCTGTTCTCTTCATTGTCATTCGTGTCCAGTGTTTCTCACACTTATTCTCTTGTGGTGTGTGACCTGAACTGGTCGCTTTCAACAGGGTGCATTGATTTCCGATGGCTGTTGAGCCTTCTCGTGAGCTCCTTTGTCCCAGCTCATCATCAATCATGTGATTTTCTTGTTAGTGCCCTGCCTCCTCATTGTTTGCCATGGCAATGTTGTCTCCAGCTTCTGTGACATTGTCGGGCTGATGGTCTGTGTCTCTTCAGAAGAATCCACGGACCACGCCGACCGCGGTCCTCTGAGAGGGCCACTGCCGTGAGCTCCACGGCACTTCCGCGCAGCGCGGCGTGGGACGCCGCGAACTTCCCCACGTCGCCCAGGCCTCCCTGGGACGAGTGCGAAACCGAAGAGACGGTGCTTGGATACTTCAGGACCCTCGAAGTGCGAGCTCTGGGGGATTTGAAGTCAACGGCCCCCTGGCCAGGCAGCCCCGCCAAAGAACAAAGAACCAAACGGTCTGTTTCCTGCCCAGTTGTAAAGGACTATGGTCCTCTGAGACAATCTCTTCATGTATTTTTCATCGGACCCAGTGATGTCCTCAAGCGCGAAAACTCACCAAGTGCAAGTGAGCAACCAAGAACATTGCACGGGTATTAATGATGAGTTTTGTAAGTCCAGAAGAGTGAATGTTCGTTGCCCAGGTTCGCTTGGAGATACAGACAAGTTTGGAAAAACAAAATCACTATATGATATTATGGACCAGTTGTTGTTTGCTTCAACTCTCCAAGAGGGTCTCTCGGCCCAAAACTTGCGAACTATCTAATGCACGAAATATCTAATGAAAAACTTGCGATTTAAACAATCTGCGTGCCTACAGAATACTTTGTCGCGCTATTGGCACCCATGACAGCTCGGTCAATTGTCCTTCGGCGAGCCTTGGACGCCCAAACAACGGCAATTTTCTTCGCCATGCCAGCCATGAGCGGGACGACCGCGTGAACCGGAAACGGCTGGAGTTGGGGCGGAAATGATTTTCAATGTGGCAGTGCCGAACACAGCAGATCGGAGGGTATGGATGTCAAACATACTATGTCTGACGATTTGTGTTTTGAGGGCGTGTAAACGTTGAGGGTTAAAATGGAACAACCATGAGGGAAACGTCGCAGTTGGTGCAATGAAGTGCACTCTGTATGATATATATATATTGATATATACATACATTACTCATACCTAGACCAATGAAACATATATTGCCCATTCACAGTCAGTAGTGGCGGGAAGGGTCATCGAAACGAGTCGGCCCTCAGTACATGCTCTAGAATTTGAAGAAATGGTTGACAATAATTAGGCTAGGTTAAGAACATACACCAATGAAACACATGGTTGGCAAGGTTTACACCAACTTAGGCCAATTGATGTCTCAGTGGTACAGCGGCTTCTCCCCACCTGAGCGGCTAAGCACCGCCGCCCAAGACCTGAAACACTCGAAGACGCTTGGCTTCACCCGCATGGACACCAAGTCTAGCGCGCGCAAAGTGTACCTTGACATGCTCTCACGCAGGAGTTGGTGAGGCTCACGAGAATTTCGCGCCAAGCGACGTGCAGCTGCACTCCTATAAAAACATGCTCCTGGTGAGCCCCTAGCTTCAGAGCAAAACTGCGAGCCCTTGAGCAACATGAGCAACAAGCCCGCAATAGGCGCCGCTTATGTCATGGCCAGCATACATATACAGTCCGCAGCTACTGAGTTGTCCTCCAAGGTACATGGCCTAAACGTGCCCATCATGACCGGTGATCCCAAATCGTCGGCTCATAGCTCATGATCCAACCATTGGGGTTTTCGTGCCAGTGATGTGGACACTTACATATGCCTGATATGGAGTTACGGAAACAAACAGGAGGATGAGGTTGACATTTAGGTTCTTTTGCATCTTCTGCTTATGAAAAAAAGGTTGCCCCTTAACTACTCATAGGGCCGTTGATATTGAAATTTATACACATATACTGATCATGTACTGGATTTTGTGCCGATGGTGACTATGTTCTGGTTCATGCTAGAAACCTGTTCATGTTTGGTTTGACCATGTTTGACCTACAACCATTACATCCATGCGGGAATTCTCAGCTGGGGTCCTGAACATGGCTTTGGAGACATAAAACGCCCCTCCCAAAATGAGAAAACCATGCTCAGCAGCAAAACCCTTGCTTGAAACACCCCTACATCAAATATCGGACTGTAAAGTCCTTAACCTTTAGCGATCAAGGTCTTTTCAACATTGGCTTCAGATTCTTGACTATGGTCTAAAACTCACAAGCACGCCAAACACACAGATTCTCTCTATAATAAAATCAAGGTGTTACCCCCTGAAAGGGGGGACCCTAAACCATTTTGTGGTATATCTTAACTTTTCTGATTTCACAGAGCTTATTTTCACATAGATATCGTATAACATCATTACTGACACTCTTCCTGTGTCACCCACATACGCTGTAACACCATGCTTCGTGTCCACTGAATGCTTTGACGGACGGACCGGTTCCTAGATGTTACATTTACATGTTACCACAAAAAACGATGTTCCCAAGAACGTGTGGGTGAACCGATCAATCCGAAGATCAACCCAAGTCGTGTCGTGGGAAGAAAAAAACTGAGGACAGTCTTCTACTAAGGCCTTACTAAGGGCCCACGTTGTGAGGACAGGGCAAAACCTGAAGCCCTGGTCTACCATGTAGCGAGCGACTTTCCCAGTAGGTCAATCAAGGCATCCTGGTGCCAAGACCCACAGCCATATTTAGTGATTGCAAGAGAGAGTCCTGGTGAGGGATTGGCCTTCCTTTTGATTCATTAAAGATCATTGCCTAAGACTGTGGACCATGGCACACGCACTTGGTAAGATTAACATGGAACATGATTCTTTCCTCTACAAACTTAATGGTTTTCAGATTCCACGTGGGTCTCTTCCAGGCCGTATCCTTTGAATTGTTTCTCACTTTTTTTGGCTCCAACATGACAAGGGCCTTTTGACGAGCAATTCCATCCAGGGAGAGAAAGGCACCTAGCTACGCCCTACCTACGCCATCGCGGCCTAAAAATATCACCAATGCATCCATGCACGGACTCGTTTACGACATTTTATGTCGCAAACCCATGTTAAACATGTTTTTCACACCTGATGATTCATATCTGTGCTTACCACATTTAATATATCCTAAAGAAACGTTTTAAAAATAGTCAAGTCCCATGGAGAGTGGATCCAAACGTTTCAAACGTCTGCTCAACAGCCTGGGGAGAGAAAAGCCACGAGAAAAGGTCGACTCTTCAAGCGGATCATTTTCAATCGGTGAGGGCGCTTTTTCAAGTTTGAGTCAGTATAGCATGTATTGCCCCTGCTTTCATCAACCGCGGTCGCAAAAACAACAGCAAGGTACAAACAAATCTTCTTGCTTCGTCTCTACAAGGGGGTGCAAAAAAGAAACTGCAGCCCCGTCGTTGTTCTTTGACCCCCCAAAACCAACCAGCCAACAAGTACTTTTACCAGTAGTGGTGGGGTTTGTGCTAGTGGCACTAGAACTAGTAGTCGTCATAGTAGTAGTCGTCCTCGTCGTAGTCGTGGTCGTAGTCGTCGTCGTCGTCGTCGTCGTAGTCGTAGTAGTACTAGTAGTAGTAGTAGTAGTAGTAGTAGTAGTAGCAGCGGTAGTAGTAGTAGTAGTAGTAGTAGTAGCAGCAGCAGTAGTAGTAGTAGTAAAAATACAAGTAGTAGTGGTAGTGGTAGTGGTAGTGGTAGTGGTAGTGGTAGTGGTGGTAGTAGTAGTAGTAGAAGCAGCAGCAGCAGCAGGAGGAGTAGTAGTAGTAGTACCACTTTTGGTAGCACAGGAAGTAGTAGTCGTGGTCGTTGTAGTGGTAGTAGTAGTAGTAGTCGTCGTAGTAGTAGTAGCAGTAACTGCTCAAACAAACCTCTGTAAAACTTCTAATTAGAACCTCTACCACATCCTAGAAACAAAAGCTGCAGCCCCGCTGTTTTTTTGGACTGGACCCCCCTCCAGAACAACACCTAAACAACACTAAAAACGGACCAGCCCAAACTTCAGTGAAACAAGTCCAACAAGTCCACCTACTTAGGAAACCAACATTCCATCAAACCTTCAACCGTATCCCTAACCTTGTCCCCTTGAAGTTCCAAAGTTACAAGATGTGACATGTTGGGCGGCTGGTTTTGTTTCAACAAACGCCGCGAGGAGTTGTTGACACTGCCTGCAGGCCGACATCGCTCAGCCCAACATCTTCTGACATGGCTTTCAAGCCGTGCTTGTTGCTTTGATGACAATGTCTGCGAAGGTCTCAGGCCTGACTCCTTGAGTTGTTTTTCTGTCAACCTTTTTCCACCTGTTAAAGGTTGATTGGGGTGAAACCCCAATCCTCCACCCAAAAAAGCAGTTGGGGTGAATGAAACGAGGAAGGATAAGGAAGCCATGGCTGGAAATTCAACATGCCATGCCTTCGGTTTCTCGCTTCTGTACCGGATCTTCGAGCCGCAGCGAGAACCGCGAAGCGGTCGGTGTAGAGCTCTCAACGGAAGTGACCAGCGCGCTCAGCATGCACAAGGAAGGAGTTGGTACCAAGCATGAGGCCGTCGCTATTAGGTTGGAGGCCATCGCTAGTAGGTTAGAGGCCATCGCTAGTAGGTTGGAGGCCATCGCGATTAGATTCCTTTTGCTATTATAGATAGGAATAATCTAGCTTTAACTTTTAGAATCTTTTAGCTAGAATCTTTTAGCTAATCCAAGCATCCACTCGTGATCACTCGGACCCCCCCCGTGAAGCCACACAAAGGCTAGGGGGATGCCACTAGCCAGGCTAGGCCTTTGGAGTCGGAACACGCCTGCACGGCATAGCCCAAATCCTTCGCAGACAGCTCCGCCTGTGCACTTGGGAAACCGCAATCCCTTAGATGTTCTGCAGATCCACACGGTCTCTCAGAAAAACGTGACCAATATGTTGGTCCGGACCGATGTTGAGCCAGAAAAGCATGTGTCAGAAGCCACCGTCGTGTCGAACGAGATCGGGTGAAGTGGAAGGACGTTTCCCTGAAGCTCTAGGATCTCTAGGAGTAGTTCATGTACACTAATTAATCGAAACAGCATAGCTCCTGACCCAGGCCTTTCCCAGAAAATTTTGTTTACACGAGAATTTAAAGAATCTAATTTCCATGTTTTTTGGGCCTGCCAAGGCCATCCGCCTTACAACAATTATTTCAAGTCCATTCTCTTCTCTCTCTCTCTCTTGTATCCATCTTGCATCCATCTCCCATCCCATGAACCTGCCGCGATGGAACCCATCGACCGTCCCCAACCCCGTCCTCCATGCCGACCGTCTCCAACCCCTTCTTCGTCCGTTCCTCCACGCCTCGCGCCCCCGGAAGCCGCCCGCCAAGACGCTCCGCAGTTCCGCCCACCGTCCTGACGGCGACGCCGCGACGGGAAACCGGCCGGAGGGCGGTGGCTGTGGCGTTGAGGTCCCGGATGCCTTTGCAGGAGGCATGCCTCTCGAGAGGTCCCGGAGGCGTGGCGTTCCAAAGCTCGAAGTCCCCTCCCAAGATCTAAAAATCATATAGGAAAGCCGAGAAGAAAAGGGATCGTCCACTTGACTTCGAATCTCCATGCCCCAAAGCCAGCTCATGGTTTCTATCGTTCACCGTGGCACGGTGCCACGACTCGAATGTACTGCTCCACCGGCACCGTTCGTGCGGTCTCGGTGAGCGAGTCGGTGAGACCGAGACGGGAAAATGAGGGCCTCATGCGGTGAGATGGTTGAGCTGTACGGCGCCACAGGTCATAGCCCCAAACATCAGACTGAACAAGCATATCCCAAACACGACAAATGGGACTGCCATTGCCGACATTGGGGTGGAATGGGGGATCAATGTAGGCATACATGCAGTCTTTGGGTGTATGATCTGACAAATGGACTATACAAGACCAGTAGTCTAGTCCATGCATCGAAAAACACATGAATCCTTCACAACTGGGCCCGCCGTGACCTGCAAAGAACGCCGTTCCGCCGCATGGGGGCAGCCGTTGTTGTGGCCGCCCGCCGCGAACCCGCCGCAACTTCGGGGCCCCATGTCTCAGGGAGCGGCAAAGAGGCCGCGGTGCCAAATCCAAAAGACCAGGCTCAAACCCAAAGCCTTAGGACTCGTCAGGGATTCGGACACCGGACTCACCACCGGCTCGAGTCGAGTCCAACGGCGGCTGAGGGCTTTAGCATCGCGTCGCAACGAGAAACGCATCCCGAAGGTGGAGGGATGTGGTAGAGTCTGACGCGCCCACGCCCACACCCTCAAACAAATTCAAGCACTGAGCGAACGAAAAGGGCCATGAACTGTATATGCTGAGGGAATAGAGGTGACATGGGGTGACGACTATATTCGGGTGGCTCTTTAAGTTTATCTTGCTTTCTGTCTCTCTGTGGTTGGGTCTGGGGATGAAATCTGTCTGTATCTCGACATTTCTTGGGTCCTTAAGCCGAACAATGGTCGAAATAAACCACACACACCAGCACCACGGAAAGGGGCTCCATTAGCCCCTTAGAGCCTTAGAGGTGTCCATCAACCACCGGGAGTCCAGGCACAAATGACGAACACCGAACACCTCACATGCCGGATCCACATAGACCTTCTCAGGTTCAGTACGAGTATCTGGGCCCGACAATGGGGCCTACATCAGTGTGTGTCTCCCTGGCAAACCGCTATGTGGATCCATAGAGATGGATAAGTGGATGGCACCCCCTGTTTCTAAAAGAAGACGTGGTCTTCCGAAATCAGGACCACCCCCCAATCCACGTCATCATGGTTTCTGTGTTCGAGACTAGAGTTGGCCCGCAGGGCACGTGAGTTCAGCGAAGAAGCACAGCAAAACATACACAAACACCAGGTACGGCAGAACGTTAGCACAGCAGTCGCCGCTGGTACGCTTTGAGTGTTCGCCAAAGCGTACCGGCGCCTGGCCGGCCTTCTTTATAGTTGTGCAGAGACACAATTGGTGTGACAACTCATCCAAACTTGACTTCCTCAAATTCTCGTGTGAACTTCAACTAACCTCAACCTGCTCGTAATTCTAGTCTAGTCTTCCTTCCACTTCCACTTCTACTGAGGACTGGGCTTCCAGCCACCTAGCTGCAGGTAGCCTTCCATTATAGCTAGGGTTATGCTTGTATAAATTGAGAAGGATCGACCGAAAACACACATCCCAACCGTGCCCAATGACGTTCTGCGCTTTCATGGCTTTCTTCTTTTCCTGGCCAGGTGAATCGCAAAGGGAAGGCAGCAAACAGCTGGGCATCTGTAAATTCTTGTGGATTCTTGCCATGAACAAAGATTCAATGTTTGAACTTGGACCTGACCTTGACTCAAGCGAAGTCTAGAATCTGGGTGTGGGTCACACACATTGGTACTGGTATCGGGAAACCCCGCATGCTGTTGAAGGGGAAACCCGTTTGCAGTTTGCTGGGTCTGGAGCATCTTTCTCCGAATCGATTCTAAATCGGTTCATGTTTACCCCGATCATTTGAGTCCGCTGGCCCAAATAACCTCGAGGAGGTTCTGGAAACTAGCCAGTGGCTTTATACTAATATGTTTTGCTCAAAAGACATTTTAAAAGCCATCTCTAACGGGATTGGTGGACTGCTCATGAATTGCGACTTCTAAAGGAGTCTGTACATGATTAGACAATGAGATATTTGATCGAACAAGTATCAGCAACCCTAATGTCCAGATTCTCTTATTGTTGTTGATGAGCGCTAATATACTTCGACTTGGCTCTACCCCACCACCGTGCACACGAAAGCAGCATGCGGGTCCCTACAAGTTGGCCTCACAACAATGAGATACAACTCCAAACCGGACAAAAGGCACCACTGTTCATGATTGGGTGGTTGGGATATGTTGGGATGCTGCAACCTAACTTCGAATCACGTGCACATCAATGTTGGTGTTCACTCAAGATGTTGCTTCAATTGTTAGGGGCTTGCGACCGATCCATCTTTCGCCCATCTTTCCAGGTCACCTGCAAAAGGCTGTTGATATGGAGGGATAGTGCCAGGGAGGGCATGGAGAGCATCTGCCATCTCCCCTCCTTTGACCCTACTTCAGGCGCATCAATCCTCCTTTTTTAGCTCTTTGAGGCACGCAGATCGACTCCTCTCTGCGCAGAACGAGTTCTTCTTCGCAAACTTTCTTCAGGTCACGTTGGATCTGCGGATCTCAGGTCGACCTCGTCGTCTCCTCTCTGCGTCACGTGGCGCGAACCCTAGCATCCTCCACGTGTCGCGCTCGTGGCGTGTCGCTTGCGGCAGATGCGCCGAGGGCTCAGGGAACGCCGGTCGTCAGTCGTTGCCACCTGTGCCGGTCGTTGCGACGTCGATCCGAGGGTCGGACCCCTCAATCGTCTTGTCGGACCGGTTTCTGTTAGACGGAAAAGAAGGACCCAACTACCCCTCTCTGGGAAGTTTGAAGAGGAGCATAGTGGATCTGTGTACAGTACATGGCTCGAGATCGTACTAACTAAGTTTTGCTCCACTGCTGGCAAAGAAGGAAGACGTAACCACATCTCACTTGCTGAGCCCCAAAAAGAGATCAAGCGAAACACAGTTGGATACATTGTTCGACAAATAACGGACTATTCACACCTTGCAATCAGCAGGTCGGTGTAGTCTTTGCCAGAAAGGCCAGGGTAGACGCCCAAGGAGTAGCCATCATTCACTTCCACCAAACCTGGTTCTTCTCGGCACCCAAAGACTAAGGAACAAGTGGTGCGATAGCCAACGACTTGGAAGTTCAAGTGGATCAAACTGGATGAGTTTGATGTTGTCTTTTCCAAGGAGCCGATTAAGAGCCTTCTCAGTCATTCCTAGGTGACCTTAGGCCCCACACATTTGGCGCCAAAACGCGGGTGTTCTTGGCTTTTCCCTATAGACTTCCAAGACTATTAAACAAATGGTTGACCTGGTTGTGTAATGTAAAAATCCTTAGTAAAACAATGGTTGTTGGCCAGGAATCCTAGGGTTTTGGTAGATCAAGGACATCATCCGTGACACAAGACTTGAGTAAATGAGCTTTTTGGCAGAGAAGTGAAGCATCGAAGAGCTTGGAAGAAAACCATCTCACACCAGCAAGAACACGTGCGCCAAAGTGGAAAACCAAAGGGTTGGAGGTCTCCCAAGCCCGGTCTTCATCGATTTGTTCGGATGAATCACCCCTGGGTGTGGCATGGGGCCACTGGCCTGGCTTTTGGGGAGGCCGACGTGATGTGTAGGGAGACGCTACAACGAGTCGGTCCCCTGCGACACCGGGGAGTCTTCATCCACTCTACCCAAGCAGGTTGAGAGGTCCCCCTATAGAAGTACACACGCAGATTAAGCCACCCCGGATCCAGTCGTACCCTCTGAGGTTTGGTGGGACTGGGGTAGGTTTGGAGGGTTCAAGTACCTTTTCAGGAGGCACGACTGGATCCCTTAGGGCACATCCAGGTTGGCGCAAAACATGTGACAGATCTGTCAGATCTGCTCGTACCCCCGTCTTCCGTCTCTGCGCGAGGGTGCTCTTCAGAGTGGGGATCTATTCTGTCTGGCCTGTCCTTAGATCCTCTGTTAAGGGTTACTTTTTGGGGTTTAGTAGCACACCCCTTATCAACCAAACGGGCTGGGGGTCTAAAAGTACACCAAATGAAGGTATAGCCATGGTGTCGACCAGAGTCCCTCTTTGGCGTTTGGCAGCGGCGTACAAGACAAGGATCAGGTCTTTAAAGTGCTGTCACCATCAACGGCCTTATCCCTCCTTAGTTGGCAGTTGGCAGCTGCAAAACAACTTGAAATACCAAAAATAGCTTGCAGGCCGTCTGTCCGCCCAACCACCACCACCCTTCCAGAAATACATCCTCGGGTACAGGGGCCCCTGGGCTTTGGTGTACACCAACAAAGTAACACTGAAAGAAATGGATTGGCCCATACAGGAATCCTCCACGTAAACCCTGCGGTAAAAAAGTGTAACTCAGAACCACTTTGCACCTGAATCTTGTTCAGCATTAGCTCTTCAAAACAAAGCTTTCTTTGGTGGCTTTTGAAACCAAAAACTGGTTGATCCAGCATGGATGTCCAGCCACAGCCAAGCGCGCTTGTGGGGTCTTTCGCTTTCAAGGTTTGGGAACAGGTTCTTTGCCTGCCTCACCATGCCCTGCAAAGCGTCCAAGGAAGGGATTTTTGTTCTCGCACTCAAAGGGCCAAACGTAAACGTGGTCAGCCCCAAAAAATGGATTGGCCCTGTTCTGAACATGATTTGGCCACATCAAAGCCATCTCAAGAGAAACAAAACATAAAACATTGTCATAGGAGTCCTGTACAAGCAAAACCAAATACTACTAGCGAACCAACAAACAACATAGTGTTACTAATTTGGATCACTGTGACTCAGGTGTGCCCTAGCTTCAAACCACAGCTGCATGGAGTCCACTGGCAGGAGGAAAACCGAGTTTGCCCTCATTCTGGGGATTCGATTGCGGGACGAAAGCCAGGAAAAACCTATCCTATGTGGAATCAATTGATCAGAAATTCAAGGATATACCCGGTAGAGCAGATCAAATCCTGAATGACCATGGGTTCCTTAAATCCTCATTACAGTATAAATCTATGGTTGGTTTGAAACCAATCTGCATGTGCGCAACTCTTTCCCAACCCCATGGCCAATCTGAGTCTCATCACTGCAAAGTCCATGGCCATGCCAGTTAAGTCTTGCCCTTCCTCACTTTTCCATAAGGTTCCTTAACCAGTTGTTGAAGGTCTAAAAAATGCCCGTGTGCTCCGGCCAAGGAAACAAACGTCCAAAGGAAACTAACTCAATGTTTGGTGCATATGGCGGCTACAGTCAAAATGCTGAAGAAAAAGTGTTCAATTGGTATTGGATCGTTTTGGACAACCACCATCACCAATCACAGGTGACCCTGAACTCAGATTAGTCAGGTAACATGCACACAAACCACCCAAAAAACTGACACACAAAGACACAATCCCTTAGCCAACAAATGACTGGCTCAAGCAGCGTCACAATTCCTGCGTCCAAAGGCAGGTTCGGGCTGTCATTTTGCTTGGCAAGTGTTTCCATTTGATTACGCGCCACTGTATCGAAAGAAAATACATACCCCAAACATCCGTGTATGGAACAGTTAGATAAATTAGATACATACATTTCATCCATCTCACCATAACGTTGGTGAATATGCCATATTGAGAAATATGTCAATATGTAAATATATATAATATACGGGCACTGCGCATTCCGGGCCCCAAGCACAGCAGTAGGTTAAGAGTTTGTATGTTTATATAGTACATGTGTGTACGCATCCTGTGTCAATCAAGTGTGTTGAAATTAATGTATGTAAAGTTCTGTATTATCCTTATGTTCTGACTACATCTTCACACTGCAATGCACACTTGCCAACCTGAGTGCCTTGTGCCTTGACAATGCCGTCTGAATGCACAATGCGCACAGGTTCTAGATCACTGTACGCCTGTTTCAAAAGGCGCCCGAGGTATCTTTTGGCGCAGACCCTTTTCAGATGACGAAGTGGTCGACGATTTTGATGTTGAGGTGGATGATGACGAAGAAGAGTCGGACATCTTGGATCCTTTTGTCTCACAGGGCTGGCTGGTCAGCCTCAGAGAGTGCCATCATGCCAAAGTTTTTCTTGTCAGATGAAGATCCTGGCCGAATGTCTTCTTTATCTGCTCATGCGTGACCAAGTCAAGCTTCTTCATTTTGGACGCCTGCTCCTCTTCAATCGCAAGAAGGTTCCTTTGACCTTTGGCATCCACAAGAAGCCAAGACTCCAATGTGTGTTGTGCTTCCGCAGACCGCTCGCCATGAACCGTGTCTACAGTATATACTTCAATTTCCGCTGGATGTAGCTCATGTGGCCTTGTAGTTGCCGGACTGTTTTCAAGGTCTTTGATGGGCACACGTCAATCCGGCCTGCGCATGTAAGTCACGAGCGTCACGCTGGCATGTCATGTTCTTGCTGAGCTTGCTGAGCTTACGGTTCTTTCTTCTCGCCGAATGACCTCACCACCTACTACGTGGATTTCCAAAGTGAAGCGAATGGCGTCAGTCGCCGATGTCTATAAATCTGATATTTGTCCAGCACCTGTCCTCAAGTTCTGAGTCACTTGAGTGATGATCACATGAAGCCTTTCAGGATCTGGCCTTGCTCCCTTCATCACGGTGTCTGCTTGCATTTGTTGCTGCACTTGCAAGGGTGCTTGTGTCACAGGGTCTAAGATGTCCATCCAGCTGCTCATAAGCCTCTGTATATAATTTTCTAATTGGTCATATCTGCAGAGATCTGCAGAGCCTCTGTTGAACTTCACGAACTGCATGAACCTATACAGGAACACGTTGGTTGCACCTTCGCAAAGTAGGGTCGCAAAACGCTCTTGAAGTATTGCACTCCAGCACCTGGTGAATCATTGGCCTTCAGAACATCTCTATCAAGAACACGTTTGTAATCTGTTGCCTGTCCTTCTCATCTATTCCTCAATGCAGGTCCTCCTTTCTCCTCTTCGAAAGCCAAGAATCGTTGCCTTCGTATGCCGGAGGCACCTTTCTCGGCACTTGTATCGTCATAGCTATTGCCGCATGTTTTCTTCTCACATGCCTATTGGCAAATGCTTGTGGCTCAAAAGCCAAGTCCGTATCGCGCTCTTCCCAGTCATTAATCCAGTCCATGGGTCAATCAATCTACAAACCTAAAGATTGGCTAGGATCTGGAGCTCACCTGGGTCTTTCCAGGATCAACGCTCGCTACCACTGAAAGAGTGACTACCACGTACGCCCGGTGAAGGCGTCTGCAGAAGCTAGTACCTGTATCTCTTGAGCCTTGAGGAATTCGATAGACTACAGTCACACACCCTGAACTATAGAGTGTGCCATTTCGTCTTAAAAGCACAAAAGCTACCTACATTTCACCCCGCCCTCCCAACCTAGAGACAGTAGTGTTGAGGGAGCAATTCCTTTCCTCTTCTCCTATCCCTATACAGCACAGTGTAGAAGATATTATTGATGATGTTGGGACAAACAATAGCGGTATATCACGACAAAATATCAACACTCGGGCTCTTACGTGCGCTTTGCTCTTTTCGCATGAAGCCGTAATCGCTTCATTGGGGCCCGGAAACACTAGAAAAAGATGGTCCGGGATATCTACACCCCCGCGTTCTTGGTCCAGTCTAAATCTCACACCCCGTCGAGCGACGGACCGCTTCGTGCACCACCTGCTCATCCAGGGGTGGACTTGCTGGTCCCTTGTAGTGACAAATGGCCCGGACCTCGCCATGGACCACATAGACTCGATACTCCGCGATGAGATCCTGGAGCTGCCAGCGAAACCGCGTGAATGAAAGGGGGGATATATTTTGGGAGATCATGAGATCTTAGAGGTGCTATTGGGAGCATGTGCTTGGAGGCTTGCAGGTTTTTGTCCGGTTTGCGCCAGCTGCCAGCTTTTGGCTCGGAGTTTTGGGGTCCTACATCTCCCCAACGAACAAGCAACTATCGTCAGCAGAAATTCAATTGTTCCATGATGTTCCATGTATAACGAAACAACTGGGTTCTGAGCAACTGGCCTCTCTGCATGGTTTTCAGATGTTTTTCAGTGTACCAGGTCACGTGGGCAGGTCCCAGGTTGCGGCTAATACCGTCACGTTTTGATCAAATGATCAGATGACCAGGGGTGTCATTGGGGCGCAGCTGGATCATCACTCCACTTACATTCTACACTTCCGTCTGGCCGCCAATGTGTCTTCGGATGCCTTTCTTGGATGATTCCATGTCGGGGTTGGTCAAAGGGGGAGTCGCCTCACCCGAATGAGCATTGCTAAGCCTTTGCAGCCCAACAAGTTCACTATGGAGCAAACAAAAATGGTTCTTGAACCAGCGAAGATGAGTGTTGTTTTGAGGCTCTTGAAGGGTTTCACTGGTGGTGCCAGGCAGTAGATTTCAGTATCTTCTGGAAGTCGTTGGTTTCTTCGCCTCTCACACAGACCTTCCATCAATCGATGCCAACCCTCGCCCTCATATCGTCATCAGAGCCAATCCTTGGTCAAGGGAACCCTCCGTTGTGCTGAACGAACTCTGCCGGGCCCAAGGCCAAGGCTCAACCACTTCAGCACAATGCACCCGCATCGATGAAGGCAAGGGGTCCAACGCGCCGGGAATTCCATCTAACAAAGTGTTCAACATCTGGTCCTCCCGGAACCACATAGGAACGCATGGGTATTGGGGACAATTTCTGGCCCAAAGACACACATCGTGGTTTCTTCTTTATCCGAGTTTGCAGGTCTACAGTGTATTTGTTTGTTAATCTATGCCACGCTCAAAAAAAAAACTGGCAAGGATGCAACGAAACTGGTGTTTTGATTGAACTTCTAGAAGTCTCAGTGCACTCATGAATTAGGCCATGTTGATTCTGCACCAGGAACACTCGTCGGTGGCAACCACAGAGTTTTCATCGTACTCGGTGGTGTGTTTCTGCTTACCCAGCAATGATCATCAAACGCTGAGCTATGTAACTAGTGGATGCTTGCAGTATTGGTCATTAACAATGTTTGCATCAAGAAAAATGCAAGAGACTTGGAGGCAAAGAAAGACATACTGACACGTTTGCTTTTCCTTTTGTCAAAATGTCGGTGAGAGAGAACGTGACAAGTTTCCGGTCCTGTTGTGAAGTCGCCACACGCAAGCGTTGGAAAGTAGCTGTTGACTGTAAAAGACATGCTACTGGAATCAGCTTGATCTTTGAATCCACAGTACGATTAAAGTATCATGAGAGGGTCTGTCAAAAAACAAGTGGCTTGTGCCGATTTGCCCGGGTCCTGGAAGCCCGGGTCCCTGCTTGCTACTGCTAGTCACATTAAGCTTGGTACTAAAGCCAAATGTTGCTATGAGTCATGGACAACAACATCCAGCTATGCAGGGACTAGTAAATATAGTTGCATACATATATATATATATATATATGACTATTGACCTGACCCAAACCACCGGGTTTTCTGTTTCTCCCTCGTGTAGCACAGAGCACGATACGATCGTGCTGTCAGTCCTTAGGCTCGACAATGGCTGAAAAGGCCTTGGTCTCCACAGCTGGTTTGATGAAGACCTGGATGCGTGGGATACATACATTGGGCATATGTCCTATTACCAGGGGCCCGGTGGACGATGGTTCAGTTGCAGGCCTAAATCAGTGGTAATTGTTGAACCAACTGTTAAAGGCAATTGGCAATAGGACAAACCCAATACGCTTAATTCCAAGGCTGGAAGAGGTGCGATCCTTCGAATGAGAACGAAGACGATCACGTGACTCATGGCACCTCCGGGTTAACCAGTTGACATTCCTTTGGTCAAAAGGGATCTGTTCATTTTCAGAGGTGGACCGCCCGGGTTGACTAGGGGCTGCCATATTCCACAACCATGTCCTCCTGATATCTGTGGGACGATGTGAAGCCCTGAAATTGGGTCTTTGCTCTGTGGGAGGGAAGGAGCGCAGCGAGCTGCCCCCATAACCTGCAGCTATGAACCGTCCGGATCACGGGACTATCGGTTAGGGCTAAAAACCATATCCTCAGGAGATGGTTAGACCCCCCAAACCCACCCCAACCACCTTTACAGCAGGTAGTTGGAGTCCTAGGGTGTATACAGGACTGTACATGCTTCGGGCTAGGGTGATCCATGCCGCATGAAATCTCATGACACCAACCAAGTGTCGATCGATGGTTCGTTTCGTCACCCTTCATCTACCCCTCTTCACGCCCAGGTGGAGCCACTCTACCACTCTACACACCAAGCCACCGCGGGCACCAAGGCCCACCCAGTCCGGACGCGGGTGGCGCCTGACGGTCGGGCATGGCCTTGAGCTCCTCTCGGACTTCGCCCAGGGTCGAAGACCAAATCCTGCCAAGGCGGGGATGGAGCGAAGTGGGTCCCCAAGGGGGTAAGCTGTGCTTTCATATGTTGGGAACATGTTGGCCAGAAAACACCTTCTACCAGGAAAAAACACACATTGACATATACTTACTACAGTATCCCAAGGGCTTCCAGCATAGCCTCAGAAGGTGGTTAGACCCCCTGGCACCCGCCCCAACCACCTTGGAAAGGAGGTAGTTGGAGCCCTAGGGATAAACTTCTGCTAATATTGACATCACGGATCTTCCGGTAGAGCAAATGCTGCAAGCACTTGGGATAGTCCGGCGGTGGAGGCATTGGACAGCCCAGCTGCCGTAACCTGGAACGGTGAAACATGGGCAGTCATGGTCAAGCAATCAAGTCGGCATGGGCAACTGCTTTAGAGCTGAACATGATTCAACACCTGAAAACAGAATGCAACTGCCTTAAGATTCAAAAGGGTCACGCAACACTGAGCAACATCCAAGCTTCCGTAAATGTTGGCGGTCTCGGTTGGATGGCTTATCTCGGATGTTGAGGAGAGATTTCCTCGATAGGTGGGACTTCCAATACCGAGAAGGGGAAAAAGAACTGGGCAGCCCGCATGATGCCCCAACACTCCGTAGTACTTGTGATGTTTTATATTGTTTGCTCCCGAAGCACTTTCAAGGTTGGTTCTGGTTACGTTCCAAGTGGCGCAATGCGTGTCCAATCGAAGTCACCCACAACCAAGTCATTCTTGGTGAGCGGCAAAGGCTTTGCTAACCTGGGAGGATACATCCCTTCCAGATCCAATACATATCATACAAACAAACCCGATGCATGATAGTCAGCCGAAGCCCATGTCACCTCAGCAAAAACGATACGGGTAAAGGTTTGCTGTACCCACAGCAAGCAAACTGTTGTAGAGAACTCCAGTGTAGGTATTGTGAAAGCTCCATGTCCATAGCCTGTCTCAAGCATGGCCACCCGAGTCATAAATATGTGTCATATGCTCACCATCCTTCTTGCTGCTCTAGTTTGACTCCTACAAACTGCACCTTCCCGGCGACTTCCTGCTACAAACTGAATATCGTATCAACAAAGGTCTAGGCATGGCTGAGTAATATACACACCAAAAAAAAACTTGAAAACGATCACAACACAAATGAATGAACTGCTTCGCAAATACCTCCCGCAGGTTAGTGGTTTATTCGCCTCATCCTCCCCTTTGAGGGAACGTCGCACACATCAACTGAACGACTTGGACTGGTCCGATTTGGAGGCTTGGAAAAAGAGGCGAACCCTGTCGCAGGGTAGACAATCCTTTCCCTAGGGATCCAGTCGTACCGAACCTCAGGTACGGTGAGGACGGAGGCACTGAGACATGTATATAGGTGCATTTGGAGGGTCCAGTCATACCGAACCTGACGGTTTCATGAATCGGGGGGAAAAAAGAACGATCCTTTCAAAACAAAAGGCCCAGGTGCATCGATTCACTGGTCCGCAGGTGCACCTCGACATGCCGCTCTTGCAACTCTTGGACCACTGCCCTTGGTGGCTCAGTGGTAGATCGTGTGGGTATTTAGTGGTAGTTTGTGTGTGGCTTTTGCTTACCCCCAGGGCTCCTGGCCCATAATATCCTCAGAAGGTGCTTGGACGCCCCAACACCCACCCATCTTCTCAGGAGGTAGTCGGAGCCCTAGGGTCTCATCGCTCTTGCTGGACTTCGGTGAGATGTTCATAACGTCTCATGGACCCTCGACGTCGAACACAAAGTCGCAACGGTCGCAACGCAACCCACCGACCAAAAGCGACGAACCCTAGACCTCAAGTGTACCTAAACGGCGCAGGGGTCCAGCTGCCTCCGGATCAAAGGGTTTTTGGACCCTAAGATTCCAACCACCATGGATTCATGGATTTGATGTTTGTTCACCGAACAACCACATGAACAACCAAAGGATTTTACAAAATATTTTACACTAGAACCAGGTCAACTTTTCCTTTGATGGTCTTTAGAAGGCTAGGGTGGAGATCAACCCATCGTTTGAGTCCTGCCAAGCCAACGCCTTCTTTCCAGGGTCAAGAGTCTTTGATAATCTTTGCATCAAACTAATCGTGAACAATCCGGCTCCCTGAGTTTCCCTGGAAAACCCTGCCTTTTCTGTTGTCTGTAGAACCTCGTCCAGTATATTCACTCACTGGGTAGACATCTCCTGTCCTTTGTAAGCCTCCACTTTTCATTGCAGCAGGTCAGCTGTTTCGATGGTGGCACACATGGTCTGACACATGCAACAAGTCAGCCAACCAAATTGCCCTCTAAACACCTTCTGAGGATATGATTGGAGCACTAGGGTTGTTTCATGCAGGCTGTCTGGAATCTGTCTGGACATATTCAAAACATTTGCGGGTATTTGGTGTCTGGGATCTGCTTGACTTTAGGATGGGTACATAGGGTCACCAACTACTAGCGCAGCTAGGCTCCCAGTCCCAACAATTTTGACGTCTTGTAGCATTACTAATTACGCACTCCGACAAATGGCGTAGGCCTTGGAAGACTATTTTACAAACAGGCGGTTGTCCACTCCCATATCAGTAAGTAGGAGGGTATTATATATATATAGAGAGAGAGATCGTTGTTTCTCTGTGAATTAAGATGCCACTTCCATGTCCTCAACAGGTAGAGATTGACTTGGGGCCTTGGCCACCAGGAAGACCTTCTCGGAATCCACACGCTTCCACCTTCCACTGTGCTGCATCGCTGCTGATAGTCTTTGGGCACTTCGTCGAACGTTTGGATAAAGGCTCGCTGTGGAAAAGCCATCGGCGCGTCGCGTTGTTGGATCTTGATGGGGCGAACGCAAAGATGTTTGTTTGATCTACATAAATTCCATTTATATATGTGTTTAATATGTGTATATAGGTTGAGACCAGTAGCACATCAACACGTGTAAATTCCATTTGTATATATATATATAGGTTTAGAGCTAATATATTAGATCTTACATATAATCTGTTGAGAGCTACATGTAACACATGTGTAAAACAATCCAAGAGAAATTGTTGTGTGTGAGAGAATGTGTGATACCTGAGTCACCAAACAATGGATAGTGTTGGAAAACTCTTTTCAAAGAAAGACTGGAAACACAAGTATGGGAGTCTATATGCTCTGTAATTTGTTTGGCGCATCATTTGTTCTTCAATACGTTGTTGAAACTGTTTCTATGTATCTGTGATTGTTTGTGCATACGTACGGACATCTCCTGCAAATGCTCAAGATTGCAGCCCTATCAGCCCTAAAAGTTTAATAGACGGGAATGGTACGTAAAAGATGGTAAACACATGCTGAACATCTGGCATTCCCAGAGTGTCGGGGGAAATACTACGACGAGGGTCCCGTTCACAACTTCTGAGCAGAAAGCGGCTTGCGGGGAGAGCGAAGTCCTTCCAGAAGTTTGTCTGCTTCAGCAAAACAAAACTCCATGGCGATGTGTCAACACATGTCAAAACCCTAGAGCTCAAAAAACATGACCATATGGACGGAGTACCTGCTATGTTTGATTCATACAATTTTTTCATTCTGTACTAAAGGAACGCAAGAACCCCAAGACTGGTCAGCTGCCTTGTCGTCAGTGCCGCGGAGGATTTCCAAAGCGATAAAGGCAACCATGCCTCCACGTTGCCACATATACTGCCATCGCAAAGTTTTTGAACAAACAATTTTGGACGCTACTAGGGGCTCCTGGCCCTACTACTAGGAGCACGGACGCTACTAGGAACAAAGGGCATCGCTACTAGGAGCATTAAACAACCGAATCCTTCAACACCCCGCTAGTGACATGGCAATGAACAACAACGTAGCGGAATGGTGGCCCAAGAGTGTTTTGACCTTCCAAACAGCACAGGCTGGTGCTTAGACGGGTGTCAGCCACCCTTGATTTGTAGAATCATGTCTGTTTTCCATCATAGAAATATATCTGCGCAGCAAAATCTGCAAACAATGTGCATGATCGGGCCTGAAATGCTGAAGAGCCTCATCAAAAAGTCCTGTCACAAAAAACCAGTCCCCAAAGGTCAGGGTGAGGAGCTTCACTCTCCATGCCCACGAAAGACCAGTCCCTCAGCCCTTAGGTGGCGATTTGAGAGAGACTTTGCAGCTATGGAACCTAGTGGGGTGAAACCGTCCCTGAGAGGGATCTGGAAATTCGGCGGTCCAATCTGATTGGAAGTCGATTTCCTTCAAGTGGACGGTACTGCTACAATTACCAGAGAACTGGTACTGCTGCTATACTGCTGGTAGTGTCATCAACAGCCCAATCTGGTTTGAACGCTTTTGCCTCGTCTCTCCGGTCCCCAGGACAGTCCACGAGTCCAACGATGATCCTCGAAGAAGTACCAGGTGACAAGGCCCTCAAGCGCTAGAAGGATCACCACCTGAGTGGCGTGAGCACAACGTCACCAAGAAGATTTCATACTCAAATACACCATGCAAATCGAAATTCCGGAAGATGCCGGACCGGCACGGCAGACAATCCAAGTATATAAATACTCATAACTACCTACATGTGTGCCCTGCTCAACATTTTTCAATCACCCCCGACCTGATCGGAATTAAGGACTGCCAGTCCGATGGTCGATATGGCTGAGTCTGTTCGTCCAAAACTTGACCCAAGTTGCTTGGACCGAGTTGCTGAGTCTCTATGAAACCATCTGAAAGCATTCTTGGGACTGGAAGATTTACATTTGGTCTAGGAAACAGGACTGAAACAACAAGTCCGCTGAAATGGGAAGTTCGGGCAGTGTAAAAGGTTGCGAGCTGCGAGCCAGTTTAAACATTTAACATGCAGCAGCTGTATTTCTTTCTTTCCTCGTCTTTCAGTCTTCCTCTAAGCTGAAAATCTCTTCAGCCAAGGGGCCAGGGCTTTGGACAAGTCCTCCAGGGGACGGGAGGAGAGTTCTGCACGACGAAAGATGGGAACCTTTTCGAGTGCCACCATGGGGCCGTGGGCGGCACCGTGGCGCACCGCCCAAAATAAGAACTGGTGGATTTGCCAGAATGGCCCGTAAGGCCTAAAGAGTCTAAAGACATCTAGAGAACTCGGTGTTTCTCTCAACCCTTCCGTTCTAAATGAACTTGGTCAGGTCATGTTGAATGGTGCACGAATGTTCATGATATTTCACGATATCGATGGCTGCCTCTTTCAAGCTGCTGCTTGAAGGGCCAGTTGGATAGGCTTGGCTTGATAAAGAAACATCAAACCAAAGCACCTCAAGCTTTCCCAAGCCTTCAAACGTCAAGCGTGTTATGCCTTTTGCCAGTTTAGGTTCGCTCAACTGGGAGGCTCAAATGAGGAAAACGGGCCTTCACCTGTTGCCATGCACCTGTTGCCGATGGTTGTTGGCGCTGACCGCAAAAGATCCCAAGAAGTGTGATCAAAACAATGAACCAAACATAATAATAAAACTCATGAATTTGCAGTGAACCTTCGAACCTGCATTGACTCTGCTAATTTTCATGGGATGGTGATGGCAGTGATCCAGGCTCCTTTGGAAATACATTCATTCATTCAGTATGCCTGTTGGAAAGAGTGAGCTTCTCACTGTCTCAGGTATGTGAGTTCAAGTGAACTTGGTTGTAGAGCTCAAGTGACTCACATTTTACCTACCATGATTTGGAAATATGTTGAAGTTTAGGCAACTCTGAGTATGAGAGCAGGAAAGAGAGTTTGCTCATCGCTCACCCCGAAGCAATTGCAAAGTTCAACCCCCAAAATTCATTACAAAAGTTCATAATAAGTTCTCCACATTGGAATGCTAAGACCCCGGTGACTCGACATGTGACAAACCATGACCCCCGTGACCGGACGGAGACGACGGCAGCCCGGAACCGTTCGCCTTCCCTAACAACGTGGAGGTCGTCCGCCGGCCGCACGCCGCGTCCGGGTCGTAGTCCAGGAACTCGGTCCTGGAGCCGGTCTGAGGAGGCCGGTCTGAGCGGCGGTCTAAGACGGTTGAGAGAGCGGGGCTGAACCCAGACCCTACATTGACCCCCCATTCCATTCATAGTCCGCGATGCGGGACCACTAGAAGGGTGAGTGCCACTTCCCCGCAGGGTTTGGCCAGCATGGGTCCCCCAAACCACCTCAATTGATCGGCAAATATATGGCAGCCCCATGGAGTGTCTGGGTAAGATTAGAAGCAAACTCACATGAAGAGCGGCCTGGAAAAAAATAAGAACGTACTACTATATAAACATGCATGTGCCTTCAACAAATTGGACTATCAACAAATTGGACTGAGTAAGAACCATGACCGAACTTTCAAGCGTCATCTGCATGTCGTCTTGATCTTGGAAACCTCTCTCTCCCGCGCCCGGCAAACGTGTCCACCCCGTCCAGATCTGCGTACGAAGCACCTCGGAGTCGTCCGTTCGTTCGTAGTCGCGCGCGCGAGTTCGCCCCATGACCTGATAAACACTGTTGACCGTGCTTCAGAAGCTCGCTGTGGCTACTCCTTGGCTCCCTGCGGTATGGATGCTCTCCAAATCGCTCCCTTCCAACTTCCAACCACTGGAAGCACATGTTCACAGTGAAGGGATGGTCTTCGGAAATCCTCAAACCGGCCTTTCCAACAGCATTGAGAGATCCCAACAAAGTTTGACAGCAGTGTTCCCGACAAACTCTCCTCCCACGCACACGGGCGACCAAACTTGCCCTGAGAAAATCTTAGGGAATCCCAGGCTCAGGGTCAAACACTTTTGTTTAGACTACATGAACCAGATCAACCAGTTGTTCATGGTCGATCTGAAGGCTATAGGGCCGGCTAGGACAAGGAAACCACCGGCTGAAGCACCTTGATTCGATAGAGGTGTGTAGCTTCATTAGGGAGGTTCCAACCAATGGGTAGACTCATCTATTTCCCTTCTTCCAGAAGGTCAAACCTGGGCAGTCTCGTTATTTCCAATAATTTTCGAAAAACTGAGACTGACAAACCCTGAATATCCATTGATATTACCTTCCTATCTTTGCCCAGCCGCTAGGCAGCTCATGTGCGCCCAATATCCGATGGGTGCCCAGCCCAGGTTGTTCACCTCGGCGTAGCGCAGCCGCCACCGGCGCGGTAGCGCAGCTGGTGGCATGGCGTAGCTGGAGTTTGGGTTTCAGAAGGCTCTCTCTTCATGGTTTGGGGGAGTGTACATGACCCAGACACTCCATGTATGCCATATATATGCCTACGTTGACCCCCCAAACCACCTCCATGTAGGCATATTTATATATATATGGCATACATGGAGCGTCTGGGTGAGTGTACTTTGTTGGTCTTTGAATGGCCCAGTTTGGCGGAAACGTACCTGGAGCATGCCAAGCTACCTACTTCGGCATCAAAGTCAATGGCTGATTCTCGCGGGTCCGGTCCAAACATCGAAACTCAACTCGACTCGACTGCGACCATGGGCCATGGTGAATGGATGTGACCATGGGCGAGCACCCGGACACCCGGACACTCCAAAGGGTGGCCAGCTCGAGAGGCGGGCCCGTGTGATGCGTGGAGGGTCCATGTACCTCCTGAGAAGGTATGTGGATCCCTAAGGCCCCAGGGGAGAACTTCATATTGAAATGGAACAATTGTATTCACATGCCTGAAATGAATTCAACGGTACAGTGCGAACAACAACTTGTAGCGGATCGATGATATGGTGAAACTATCATTATTCCACACATGTTGTCCATATCAGAAGCATTCACAAAGGAGTCGCCAAACATGGGGAGTATAAACAAAATGTGCGAAACGTTGTCTTGGAGTGTACATGTGGCCTTGTTCGAGCTGCACATCTGTTAAACCTCCGACCCCTGAAAAGTACTCCAGCTAAATGATCATGGGTTGCTGCCACACAGAACCGGCCCGGGCGCAATGGGTGAGACCCTCGAGCAACACAAAACACGCCGGGCTTTCGAGTGTAACGCGTGGGCTCTACGTATAGTAGCCATGAAGACTGATTAAAGGGGCTGGAGAAGTAGTATCCAACTAAACTATCTACAACCGAGAACACCAACCTGAAGGTCCCAAACTAGAAACATCTAGGCTAAAAAACGATCCGCATTGTGACCCAACATAGTTCGCGAAACATAGGTCGCGAAACTCTTTAACGCGTCACTATCACACCACGCCACCTATCTACCAGTGGCCCTCAACCCATGAAACATGAGGTGTTCATATAGTGTTCACATGCAAAAACACGTGTTTTGTGCCAAGGAAAACCAGGTCTTTGCAGGTAATTTCCCCTGTTTTCCCTGGTCAACTCTCTACATCTGTCGGTCCCCTGCGGCCTTTCGCCGAAGCCGAGACCCCTGCGATGCTCGCGAGCGCCGTGACCCCTGCGAAGCCGAAGACCACACAGGGCCTGGGAGCCAATCCTCGCCCTCCGGGCCCCTCCGGCCCCCTCCATGGCCCCCCACTGCATGGATTTGGTCAGTTGATATGATCTCAAATGCATGTTCATAGGGGGTCAAATGCATGCAAAGCTCATGGGCTCATCAGCTGGTTTGGGAGACGTCCGGCCCTTGGGACCCCGTCTAGGAACCTGAACCAAACCTCCATGACCCCGCCAAGAGACCACAAAAACCAACAACACCAAGTCCTTTTGGATGGGTTTGGGGTTCTCCTATGTTCTCCAATGTTCGGCCACAAAAACATCCACCGATGACTAACAGCCACAGGATGTTATGGGGTGAAAGCGAACACCACGGCGAACACCTACGAGCGTTCCATTCCTTCGCGAAAGGCGGTGCTTGAAGCCAGCGCTCAGCAGCTTGCAATTCAACTCCCAAATCGCTGTTCGACAGCCTGGAACGCCCAACCGTGCACACGCCACATGCAAACCTTGGGTAGAATACTGCTTGCGCAGAGAACCACAGAAGTCTTCCAGACTTGCATCTTTTTCTGTGCTCCATGCCCTAAGGGAGCCCAGGCCCCGTGTGGGGAGTCTCAGCAGAGAGAGGACGTGTCGATCCTGAAACGATTTCGTGCCGTACGGGAGAGATGCTGGCTCCGCTGCATCCGCCAGTCCGCCCACACGGGACTGGAAATCCTCGATGCATTGATGGTGTCCAGGATGGATTGTACGCTGATGTGACCAAGCAAGCAGTTGTAGAGGAGGCGCAAAAGGGACCATGGAATCCGGATGTCACTGTTCTCGACTAGAAGCTTGACGCACTCAAAAATACTGAGAAATCTCTAAATTGCAAAACCACAGGCCAAATAAGAACCTCTTCCACTGATTTCCTGCACCAGTTTGCTGGACCAAGTTCAATGAATACTAGAAAGAACTGCAGCTTGGTTTAACTTGAGATAGTTACTTGGACTGACATTGAATATACATGCCAAACCAACATTTTAAGTGAATCCCTTCCCTCCGCTCCTCTTTGCCGGAGACAACTTGGTGGAACCCAGCAATTCCAGTGGGTCTTTATTTGGAACCAGAAAGAGATTATTTGCTCAGCCCTTGGAACGGGTTTTATATGATATCGTATGCATTTGCGAGTATGACCCGAGGCTCTGCAGTCTCAAAGTGTCTACAGTCACTGTAGAGTAGTACAAGTCAAGCTGCGGTTCGACTTTGAGAGACAGTTTGGGTGTATCCTAATACCTGGGCCCAGTGGATGATGGTTATGTTGGTAAAGGCCTTGCTGCAGGCACGGTGAGGCGGCCTTGTTTACAGGTCCGGACTACACGTGACGAACGGACCAACCCAGACTGGCCGACTAGTCGTCTCGTTGTCTGTCTCGTTGGAACCGCTGCATTCGTTCGTTCGTTCTTCTCTCGCGCCATAAAAACATCCGCTGAGTGGTCCGGGCAATTCGAAGGGCCCCTTGGAACTCAATCTCAGGGGCTCCACATTGTAGGCCAGATTCACCTGAAAAGTGATGAGTCAAGTGCAGATGGTGAGAAAAAACAATGTCTCACCACTCACTAATATACATTATAATCATTATTTACTATATATGAGTCGATCTATCTGATCGGATGATCGCTAGACCCTCCCTCGTTGGGGAACAACCGGTGGGACCATCGCCGACTCAGACCCGTCAGGGAATCGAAGAGCTGCGATGGATCCAACCACAGGGAAGTCGGTCTTTCCCGTAGGGCTTCCCGTTTGGTTCTGAGTTCTGAGAACCTGTCCGACCTTCCAACAGCTACCATTTTGGTAGCTCATCAACATGCACGACCTGCCAAAGAGCTACCATGTTCTCCGTAACGGAACTCGTTTCGTTGGGCATTGGGACGGGGGTCGGAGTCTTTGGAGGGTGTCAAACCTTCGTTTCGGAGCTAGAACTGGAGAGATCCGGGGGGTATTTGATCACGGTCATCTGCGTAGGGCTGATAGGGAAAAACAAATTGAACACAGGTCATGTGTCAGGTAAATTTACAGCATTGTCCACCCAGAAAGTATGTAGGCCCCATTGTACTGAGCAAGGCGCTTTCTCATGTTTTTTGATACCGTACACGTGTGTCCAAATACAGCAAAAAACTCGATGGAATACGGCATTGGTACGATATGTAATTGGTTCGGATCTCGGGGATGAAACCATTGATTTCATTCTCCCCCACATAACCCAAACACTCCATGTATGGCATAGTTACCCACGTTGCAGGGTGGTTCCAAGGGTCCATGTAATTCCGAGATGGAGTGTGTGGGCAATGACTCCCTCCGCGACTTGGAAACTCTTCTGACTCCAAGCAGCGGCGAAGCACGTGGGCAACCAAATGGAGAGGGCCAGCCATTGGCCGCTCACCAGTGCTAAGATCTTGGTGAAAAGAAAACAAACGGCAAAAGGCTGTGTTCCAAAAAAAGAAAGCAAGAACCCCTGTGTTCCGAGACAGTGTGTTGCACCAACTACTGCTAACCACTGCTGTATTAGCTAAGTGTACTCATTGCCCTAAACCATAAACCCATGTCACCATACTGGTTAAAAACAGAAAAAACAACAACACATGCTCTTGTTTAGGGAAAAAAATCGGACAGTTAACAAAAACAAGACTCATCATCGCTACTATCATCGCTACATTGGGTGATTGGGCAGAGGCTGCACGCCCAGAAGTGCAATGGCACCTGGAGCCCCGAACTCACCCTGGTAGGTTGACGTCTTTACTTGGTAGTCTATTCTCTTCACTTTTGGTGGGAAAGACCAGGGCGTTCCGGTTTTGACCCACAGCCATATCTTCGGTAGACGGGTAGACTCTCCACCATCCTGAAAAAAGGATTGCTTGTTGGACGAGACGAATCCCCGTTCGGGGTGTTCGGACGGATGGTCCTGAACCCCAACAATCCATCGAGACGAAGACCGTCTTCGCTGTTCTTTGGCGACCTGCGTTGATCAGTCAGACTGAATGTACCTAGCGCTTCCAAGGGGTGCCCAATGGAGACCTGTAACTAGTGTGGAGATATCCATAGGTGAGCCCTTGGAAGCAGCTGGTAGGAACCACATGACGCGACACATGCTTGGTATGTCGAACTGGGGATGGATACTCTGATCTGCATTCTTGTACGTGTTTCTTCCTGGGTTTCTGCTGAGCAGCGCCTGCGCAGTCTGACAGTCTGACCAAGGGACTGGGTCCCAGGGCTTTTATTTTTGACCTTTGCGCTAGCCAACGGCAGTGCCTGTGACCGCACTTCACCTAATTCCTATAATTCAAAATGCATCTGGCCTGTTCCCATAGTCGTTGCCCATTCGAGCGTGGTAGTCAAATCCAACAGTCATGTCGGAGATGACTTCTTCAAACCACTTGGGCACGACCATTCCGCAGTCTGGCGCACATTGGCTGGCAGCCGAGACTTTTGCCAACGCCATGCAAAAACCCGGTGGATAAGCTTTCAGCTCACTGGTTTTCCACTCGTTCTTGTCATTTCGTCCTATGGCAACAGCGGATGGGAGGCAGGTAGTCCTGGAATCAAAGAAGATCTGTTCCGCATCTTTGGACACATTCACCAGCAGTAAATTCGTTGGTTTTTTGGACTTCGCTCCAAAGTATCCTTGTAGTACGGAGAACTTCCGGCATCCAGGGAATCGCAAAAGAGTCTGAATAATGGCGGTCTTCCAAATCGAAACCATGTGTGGCTCGGACTCAAGGTCAGCCGGATGTTCCAGCAGCCCGGTCTTGCCCGCCATCAAGGCGACAACCATGAGCTTGATGGCCACAGAAAGAAGTAAACTCCCAAATGCGACTTGGAGCCCTTCCTTTCTGGTCAGATCCAGAATGCCGCATGGCCGAAGGTTGGAACGGACCACTCTGGGCCCCTTTGAACCATCCTCCAATCTCACTCCCCTGGCTTCGCTCCAAGTTTCACACGGAGGGCCTGCCAAGATGCCCTGGAGAATGTTCTGTTCCAATGCAGCCCGAAACAAATCAAATGTCTCGCTTCGGCATAAATCGCCATACTTTGCATCGAAGAATAATGTCAACGGAGATGGCACGGATGCCACAGGCCTCCAAACATTCTTGGTAGTCCATAGTTCGCCTATGCCCGGAAAAAAGGTGTGCAAAAATCACAGGCTTATAGACTGGCTGCGCGTGTCGTGTCAAGGAGAAAACATCCATTGAGACAGCAGTGTGAGCGAAAAATTGCAGCGCTTCCTCGACAGTGATGGCCTTTACATCCTCCTGCGAAGTAAACCAGGAAAAGGACATCTGCGTAAGGAAGGCCCCACAAAGGTCTGCACACAAACAAGAGGAACCTCTTCGTTCTTTGCAAGAATATCGTCAGTCCATTTTCGGAAGACCTTCTTGATCTCGCTTGGGTACAGAAATGTGGTGACTGCAATCTCTCTCAACTGCTTCAGAAGGTCAGAACCGTAGTCGTGCGACTCTTGAAAGGCCGCTGACCAGTCTCTCCAAAGTCGGTGTTCTTCTCCAGACAAATCACACTGAGCCGGCAGCAGAACATCATCTGGTGCACGCGGCCCAGCAGCCTGTAGGACAGGATCAGGACGCGCCACACGTGCCTTCTCAACTGCTCGGCTATTAACACCGGGCTCGATATCAACCAGTTCAGGTCTAGCTAGATAGAAGTTCAAACAACGCGAAACATTCTTGGCATGGTTCTGCAGATTGATAGTGGAACTATAGTGTCTTAGACAGCACTCACACTGCAATCCGGTAACGAACCTTCGAATGGCATTGACTCTCTGGTGCTTTTTAAAAGCATGCACTGACATCGCTGAAGCACTAGCAAAAGATTTGCCACAAGCAAGACAATAAAACTCATCTGCAGCGCTAACAGTAGAACATCTTGGGACTCCATGGTCAAGAAGGTATGCATAGACCCATCGGCGCCATTCGTTCCAGTCATAGACACGCTTTTGGTGAGCCACAGATCTTGCAGTTGCGCGTCGGAGCAGCGATTTCCATTGCTTCGCACCTTCTTTGCTCCAAGACAGGCAAACGCCCCAGCTTGCTGGGGTTCCGTCTGGCAGGTCTTCTTCTGGGCAAAAACTGCGTAGCCACATGAGATCTTCTTGTACTAAGGAGAACCATGTAGCCTCTTGTTGCACGAACGCACAAAAGTGTGGTTGACCATGTCGCACCATCTGGAGGAAGTAGCGTAACCTCGCAGTTCTCAAAAGGACATCCGGCTCCGCCAAGCCTATCTCGGCAATGACTTTATTAAGCGACCACTCCTTGGCAGAAAGACCAAAATGGAGCAAGGCCACCCTTTTGTAGAGCCTCGCGAAGCCTGCAGAGATCTGTCGGGACTGCTTGCTGGTGCGTGCAACCCATGTGGCCGAATTGTACAGGATAGCACTGAGCACAAGAGAATCCAACAATCGTTTTTTATCCTGCAATGCCAATCCTTTGTTGGCGAAAATCTGCGTCTTATACTTGGAAATCGTCTCGTGTGCAGCCCCAAACTTCGCAGCTAAATCTCTGGAAAGCTGTCCACCAACCTGCATGATTGTCCCTAAGTGTCGATATTGTCCCACAACACGCAGGGGCACATCGATGAGTGGAGTGTCTAGAGAGAACTCGTTGCCTCTCAGCGTCAGCTCCTGCCGCACCGCTACTGAACCAACACCATGTAGGTCAAGGAAAAGTTCAGTCTTTCCTGGCAACAAATTTGGGGTCAATCCAGAAATGGCAAGCCTATGCAAAATCCTGGTAGCAATCAGAGGTATCACATGCACCAATCCAGCTGCTGAAGGATGCCGGATGGCTACTGCGATGTCATCAGCCCAAATTGGTGCAACCAACCCCAACATCTCCCTACTAGGGCCAGCAAAAGGCGTCCGTTCGCCGCTCCAAGGCAGTTGCAGGAAGTCATATTCGTCTAACAAAGATCGCTCAACCTCAGAAAGGATCTTCGATAATGCAAATCCAAAGCAGACATCTGCAAAGGAGTCACCCGGCCTGCTGCCTCGCCGTGTCTGTGTCCATATTGGCGACCCTTCTACCTTACACCAAGTCCCCTAGTAGAATTCTTGGAACATGCTCCGAAGGTGGGCCGTGACTTGAGCCCCATCGATAGCCGGCCCAAGTTGCAAGAGGTTCTGGAATTCCACGAAGGTATCCTCCGGCAACTGCAGGCTAGCAAAGAGCTCTCTCAAACATCTATCGACTTCAACAACAGCCACAATGTGCTCACGCAGCAGCCGATAGAAGGCGTTCTGCACATCAATGAAAAGAACGGCGTAGCTAGAAGACTCCCGGATTGCCAAATCGTGATTGAGCCGCAAAACATGTGAAGCTTGTTGAATACCTTGCCCTTTAACACCACCCAACTGAAGCGGCAAACGACATTCTTCAAAGATGGGCCCAAGCTTCTGGCGGAAATGACTGTGCAGGGCTTTACCGACCACACTAGAAACGAAAAGCGAGCGATAGTTCTCGCAAAGCATGGGAGAACCACGCTTATGCATCGGGACCAAGCGGCCCCCTTTGTAAATCGCAGCCTCATGCTGGTATCCAGTTTCTTTAAGAAATAAAGGATAAAATGCTGAAGACATGCGAGCTGGGATCTTGGCCAGGAGCTCTCCCGGTACACCATCATCAAAGAAGGCTTTCCCTTTCTTAGTACGTCGAAAGGCCATCTCTATGTCAACTAAAGTCGGAAGGTCCTCCCATCTCGGGTGAACTCGGGCATCTTGTCTTCTACCATCACATACCGCAAGCAACTCTTGCGGCGTGACAGGAATTCCATTTTCCTGGCACGAAAAATGGTCCCTCCCTCGCTCTGCTAAGGCTTGAACACTATCAATTGGCTCGCCTTTTGAATCGAAAACCATCGGCAGCGGCATGATCCCTGAAGGCTTACGCTTGCTTCGAATCCCAAGAGCCGACGACGCCCGAATCACAGCATCGTAGGAAAGAGCTGAAGCCTCACGAGCCACACTTGTAACGGCATTCGTACGATCGACACGCGGAGCCTTAGTCAGGGCTTTCGACAGCTGGGCAATGGTCCGACGCTTCATAATCGCTTGGCGAAACAATCGAAAGCCTGATAGGAACAGCTCAGCAGGCACTATGGGACACTCATTTCTCCTCTGTGCTCTGTCGTCCATTCGGATCCTGTCGTATTGAGAAACTCCGGTTCTGCACGCTCAACATAGCGCTTCACTTCAAGTATAGAGGAGTTGCTGCACTCAATTTCTCTGGATCTTTGAATGTGCCAAGCGCCAACTCATTCCTGAGTTCGATGGACGTGTACACAAATGGCATCTGCGTCCATTGTGACACCAAGGCGAACCCAAGTTCAAGGTTCCAGCCTTCAAGCAGGTCTTCGTCTTTCCATTGGTCTGGCAACCACTCTTTTTTGACACCTGCTTTTCCAATTACTGCAAACGTCCCCAGGTCGAGAAGCTTTTTCGCCATCTCAAGGCGCATGATGTCTACATAGTATCCAAGCACATACGTCGCCTGCCAGAAAGTGTGCTCTGAGTGCTTTCTTTCATATCTGCTTTTTGCAATCAGGTCTTTCTTTCATGGTCTTCAAAAGACCCCTCAGTGCAGTGGACCCGAACTTGTCTTCACAATGTTCTTTCATGAAAACCAAAAGGGCAAGAGTCTTGATGCTGAGATCCAATCCAGAAAGATCTGCGCACGCATCTGCCCATGAAAATTCTTCACTTCCGTGCAACGGATTCTTAACCCATTGTTGCGACAGGAAGCACTCCAGCTTTTCACAATATGCTCTCAGGTCATGATCAACAAAGTAGTCACTTGTGTGACGTGCTTCAAGCCATCTGTCCAACCAGGAATCAGGGGGAGCGTAAATCGTCGACGAGATCCTCAAATTCCCCTCTATTCTGTTGAGGAAACCTGGCACACGCGGCAGACTCTGCTTGTGAACACCAACCTGAATTGGTCGAGCATTGTGATGGAGTCGATGTCCCTGACCGTGTAGAGCAAGCGTTCCAATGTATTGGCGAACAGAGGAATACTTGACAAAGTCACGGCTCTCAACAGGACTCAACAGTTGCCTCGACTGTTGACTATCTTCAAATCTCCCCAATGCCAATCTCAGCGTTTCAACCATACGCCCGGGATCTTGGCATCCTGTCCCGAACAGGCAGAAGGGACAAGAGAAGACCAAATCATTGTCAAAGCAAGAGACACATGTAATGTCCCTGACTCGTTCAGACTCAGCCTTAGTGAGCAAGAACCTTGCTGCAATCTTGGAGAGCGTCCCTGCGGACTCATTCTCAATGATGACATCACCATGACGCAATGATGCAAGACGTTTGCATAGTGCACCATCCTGCTGTAATGCATGCATGAACCGCAAGACAAGGTCACTTGGTTCATTCAATGCTCTCTCAAGAATCACGAGTCCAACAGAAGCAAAGTAGAAAATGATCTCAACTCCAAACCGGTCCAGCTTCTGTGCACTGTGAGTGCATGGCAAGTGGTGGTAGCTGCAAACAAAGGGCGCTCGACCCTCTGCAATTCTCGTCAGCAGCGGAGTTCCAATGCGTGAACCAACCCCGCGGAAAATGGTCGCGTAATCCCGCATGTAGGTTGGGCCCCGGGGCCCATGGTTCTGGCCAGAAATAGGGGAGACCGAGAACAGGCAACGACCTCCTGGAAGGTTTGGGAAATAGACCAGTCTACCCAGCCGGGGCCAGGGGGTTCTCCCCCATCGATCTGCCAACATTCCTGCCAGTCCGAGAGGCAATGATCGGCACGACGTTGAGGATGACGATCATCCGCGGCAAGTCCTGAACACGACTGCTCTCTGTTTTTAGGCACTGCTAGAACCCCAACAAAGATCACCACATACGGGAAACATCTATAAGATATCTAGCATGTAACTTTTGACATGTTCCAAGTTACTATGTCACCAACCTAACATAGTTCAATCTGTTCACTTGGTCCTTGGTGAGGTCATTTGGTACATGGGTGAGTTTAAAGCATTTGAAGAAGATCCATCCACTTCTCAGTGTGGTTCCATAGTCAGATCGTGTTCGTCTAGTGTAGACGTGTGAGTAATAAACCCACCCATTCTTCTTCTTATGGGGAGTTGATTAATCAAGTCAAGAGTCTACATAGTTCTTGAACCTCGCATGTAGCGACCTCCACAGAAGATATATAGGCTAAGCTCGGGCTTCGAACGGCCTAAGCTCTCCCCAAGCACCGAAGGCTAAGCTCATGGAGGGGGCGGCCGTTGGAGCCCGGTTCCCGGGGAATGAACATCAAACGCAAGGCAAAAAGCTCTACAGATCCTGGGGCACGAACCCACAACGTGTCAGTGTCGAACACATCCACAGGGATATCTCTGAGGGTGCCAGTAGACCCCTAGGGAAATGATCTATCAGGACCTCGAGACCTGAGGTCCCCAGCGCTCCAGCAGACCAAAAACCGAAAGACCAGGCTCCACCACTTGAAGGTTCCCCAGACTATAGGGTCAATGTATGGTAACTCTATGCGTGTCCCAAGCTCCACCACTTGAAGGTTCCCCAGACTAGGGTCAATGTATGGTAACTCTATGCGTGTCCCATGGATCCAACCCGGGGTTTTTCCATCCGAGCGAAAAGGCTCAGTATGACGCTCATCACCCAGATGCGAAGAAGTTGTGGTCACTTGGATGTGAAGTTCGTTTGACCCCGGTGGAAGTCGCGTTCCATCACCTGTGATATAGTGGATCACCTTCTTCTCACGTCGCCACGCAAACCTGGACATTCCAACGCACGGCGACCGACCGGGCGGTCGGGTTTCGGGTCCTTCAGTTGTTCGGCGCTGCACTTGGCACCATACATGAAGTTCCCTTTGCCTCGAAAGTCGAAGCGCAAAAGCTTTCATCTATGCCCTGACCATCCATGGAAGGAATATATATGCCTACCCCCAACCACCCCCGTTGTATAGGTATATATGGCAGGAGCGTCTGGGTATGGGACTGATTTAAAACAGACCTGTTGGAAATGACGCAAGGGTCTAGCAACGGTCCTCATGTTTGGGCGGTGGACAGGATAAACGAGCCAATGAAAGAACATTGCTGAAAGGTTTTTCTTTGGTCTTTGTTTTTGTTTTTCGATGTGGAGGGTTCCCAAATTCGCAGTGGCTATATATATATACCTACATCTTCAGACGAGCGGAAATGAGTGTACATTGGCCTTTTGGTTACACCTTTTGAACCTTCGAGCACTAAATTGATGTTCGAGCACTTTTCCCAAACCCAACCCCATCCAACTCCCATCGCAGCTTTTGGCCGTTGTGTGTTGTGCATTCTTGACCTTTGGCCTGCCAAAGGCAGGAACTGAGGGCAAAGGCCGGCGAGGGGTGGCAGACTGGACACAAACCACTTGTGATGCGAGAACGTGTTTGATCTATAGAGCATTGTGGCCAAAAAGCAGTGACGTCCTATGGTGAACATGGCATACAGCAGTGAAGCCACTGCTGTTTTTAACCAATGGAAACTGAATGAAGATCTTTGTCACAGAGCATGTAGGATGTGTTTGGCCCAGATTGGGAAGAAAAAATTGGTGGATCGGCAGGAGGTTGCCAAAAACTACGGGCTGCTATCCCCAGTCGTTTGAGCACATAGGTTCCTGGACCAAATTTGAAAAGAAATGGCTCAACAAGTTTGACTTTCAGAGACGTATACTGAATCAACCTCATGTGGGCCACAACCACTAAGGTCTGAGACCATCGTCATCCATCAAAACAATCCCATGGTCAGCGAGTTCCGTGCCACTACAGTGGATCCTTTAAAAGTACGTGACTAAGGCAAGATAGTACCACTGAAAGCATGGATCTTGCGAAGCATGGTTTATGCCTTTGCTCGCATGGCCAAACGAGGGCACCGACCCAGAGAGGCAACATCAGGAAGTTGCTGGAACGAGCATCAATTCCTGTTCCTCCATCATCGGCCCCTGGTTCACGTTTCTTGGTAAAACTACTGTCAGAACGGTTTATCTCCTGGTTTTCCTTGGCCCGTCCTGGTCAGGTGAGTCCATTGCTGATGGTGAAAACCATCCAGAGCCAGCAAATGACACTGAGATGGATGAGCATGAAGGTGATGATGAGCTCCCAGAGACTGCCGAGACTGAGCTCGAGGAAAGTGACCCAGTCATCGAAGTTGAGGACTGGCCTTCGTAGGAGGCAACTGGCAATTTGATGGTGCAACATGCTCAATGTCTCATAGGGAATCATAAGACCCATTATCTAGCGCGTGCAGTCTTCTGGAGCTAGGAGTCACAAGCAATCTGGATGAAGGCAAGGAGTTTGAAACTACCTCTATCCTTTGGGTTCTTTCTTGGCAACTCATTCCCCTGGCCCTTTTCATTGTGGAACTTTGGGGGTGCGCAGGTGCAGCGCCCAAAGATCCACCGCCGTCACGGGAGCCATCGTGCGCGCCTTCCACTGCAGCTTCAGAATCCTGGAGGCCGGGAGCACATGTACCCGAGTTTGTGACTTGCAGCTTAACGTGCACTGCTACAATGTACAAATCACACATCCAATACGCACATATTGAAAGATCACCTGCGATGTTCATCCATGCATTATGGACTGGGATTAGGTTTTTTAGGAGCTGAAATGTTACGGGTCCAGACTCGGGTCCAGATATGTCTTGAATCGGTTACTCTTCATGGTCATGGATCCATCTTCTCATGTCTAGGCGTGATCTCAGAAGATGCAGCGTCATCGCGGGACCCATCGTGCGCACCTTCTCCTTCAGCTTCAATTGCTCCAGGGCCTGCGGGCTATATGGATGGTTGGGCCGTGACGTTAACAACGAGGCTTGTCGAGTATGATCGAAGTTATTTGAATACACGTGTCTGTAGCATCAGGTCACCGTGTACAAAAACAGCAGTAGCCCCACGTAGCTTGTCTTGCTTTCAGGTCTGGCATCGAATACGAGAACAGAGATTTCATGAGTTTACAAAGGTCCTGAGGTTCCACATGCCAAGTTCACAAAGTGAATTCATATATATATATATAAAAACAAAAATTGACTAGAAATAAGAAATGAAAATACAAGAGAACAACATAAGAAAATAAAAAAATAGTAAGAGAAAGTTGAACGAGTGAATGATAAAGGGAAGGGAGCGTCCTTCAAACGATAAAAGAATCGCTTGAGCAGCTTAAGCAATTCTAAGCAACTCCATTGCAGCATCGAAGTCCAAGAGCTGTGCGCTCAAATAATCTGCAGTAAAGGCGATATTCGCGGGCTTCACATCCTTAGTCCCTCAGTTCCCTCGAAAAAAGTTTAAACTGCTTTCCCTTAGTATTTTAAGTAGGAAAATCAACGAAAAAAAAGTTCTATGTTTAACCACTGAAGGAGGAAGCATCGGTGTGTGCCACCAAGTTTTTGTGGGTGAAGTTGAGTGCTGCGCACGTTGGCGACAGAGCTCCTGCCAGGCGTAACCTGGTCAGAGTGTAGTTCTTCGATGCTGAGTGCAAGGACTGGCCAAGGATTTCCATCGTGAATCCTGCCACTTGGCCATCATCCAGGAGGAGCGCGCCGACTTTCAGTACGTTGTTATGAGAAAGTTTGTGAAGTAGCATGGCCTCTCTCTCTCTAAGGCTGAGCGGTCCTCCTCCTCCGACGACTGCATCCCTTCCTGGCACCTCCACACTTTGCAAGCAACTCGTTTCCCAGCACATTGGGCAATATGCACAGCTGCCAGGCCGCCGCGGCCTATCTCTTCAACAAGGATTAACTCACACATCTCGATCCGGCCGAGCTCTTCGCCAAGTCTTCCCTCCTCCTGCGACATCTGCATCCGAACAATTGGGCGGATCGCCTTTATTCGGCGGCGGATTGGCCGTGCGGCAAAGCTCCAGGCCGGCGCCGAAGCCGGCAGGTGCGGGCTGTAAGCACCTGGCCACGGAGCTGCATCCTTCTTCCCCATCTTCATGCGAGGCGCTCTTGCGAACGCCATGGTTGTAAAAGATTGTAAAAACAAAAATAATCAGTTTAACGACCAATGAAGTGTCACTTCAAAGTCGTGTAATATGTGTTGTGTTCTCAGTCATTTCAGTGACATGTCGCTGAGGCCTTTTGCGATTGGCCAGACTCGAGCAATGTTTGCTACAGCATGCTACAGCACTGTGAATGCACAGGTGCTGGCGGTAACAATGCTGGCTATGCCATGAAGTGAGAGACTATCAATACTCAGACTGGATTGCGTGTGCCAAGCTACTATGAAAGTCAGTCATGTCAACTGATGCCCTCTGAGGCTTCTTGCTCCACATAGATCACAACATGTGTGAAGTTCTGCGTCAACAAAGTGCCCTGGAAAGTCAAAGAACTTTCTAGCAAAGTCTGAAGGATTTGCCAACAAGTTACAAAATCACGATGAACTACATTGACTATATGCTTTGCAACGCGTCGAGTTTACAAGGTGTCAACTTCTTGGTTGGTCTGCCGCAATCAAATATTCCAAGGTTTCCAAAAAGTTTAAAGCCTCTCTGTGTGCCTTACCTTGCTTTTGCAACTGTTTGCAACTTTGAGTCTTGGCCTATTTTGCATATCTTCTCCTTTGCGATCGCCCCCTCTCAATGACATTGCTTGCCTGGGGGACAGTCAACACGGTGGTGCCCACCGGCTGTGCCAAGCAATGATCGATCGGCGCCACTGGAATCCGTGGCCAGATAGACCTCAAAGAAATGTTGACTGGCAAAGAGAAGGAGCTGGGTTGATAGTTACAGGTAGCTGAAGAATCGTTGATTCGGTTACTTCAGTTGTTCAATTCTGCAATGTATTTGTTGGTGACCAAGGTGACAAAGAAAAGTGAAAGATTCTGTGCTGAGGCTAATTTCCAATGAACACTGCCACTCCAAAATCATTCTTGTTGTTTGCTTAAAACAAGGAATGTTGATTAATGTTGTCTGCTTCAGAATCGTATGTGATAGAATCTGATAGAATTAATTCAGAAAATATCCAAACAATGTACTGTACATAGATTTCAACAATTTTTAAAAACATGTCAAATGAAAAAAGACGCTGCTACTCTTGACAGGCCAAGCCACCGAGTAGGCCGAGGCCAGCTGAATGTCACCCGCCGGGTTCCATCGCACTTCGCCACTGACCAAGGTGGAACCCAAGTCCTCGAGAAGTTTTGCGAATGGGGAAAGGTTTCCATTGGGCGCTTGGAGTTCGCCGTTTTGAAAGTGCCCACTTTAGTAGAAAGGCCAAGATGGGAGGATAATGGAAAAACTACCTGAAAACCAAGGAAGACCGCAGTTTTCATGTTCAAACATGTTCTGATCACATATCATAACTCGAAACATATTGCAAATGTTATCCGAGTTTGGTGGATTCCAAGTGTGTCTCTTCCTCGCCACATCAGAGTCCTCATCCACAAAGCGCATGTAGTCCACTCAAGCTCTGAGTGGCCAGGTCTGGTGTCGAGCGTCGTCTTAAGAAGTCCTCCAGGAATTGTGAGCCAAGGAGAAACCACTGGGTAAACCAAAGCTCTTCAAAAAAAAAGTGGACTTGAAGAATCGGGTTCCTACAGATTCCTTTCTACTTAGTTCTCAAAAAAAAATCTTGTTCAAAACTGCACGCTGCTATGACAGAGAATATGCACTATACAAAGCCTTAGAGTATTTCCCATGGCATCCTACAATTCCTGAGGTCACAGACTGTCCACAATCTGCAAAACTGCTGGAGTTGCCTGCCTGTAGAGTTACTACAGCTTCGAGGCAACTTAAACGGAAAAAAGACACTAGTACAGCTAGCCACCGCTTCTCCAGTTTGACATAATAACAATGGCAAATGATAACTGCAGGATCTTCTAGTCGTCATAATGATAGCCTAGTCTGTCTCTCAGGGCCAGGCTCTGCCAAGGCCGATTCTGCAAAAATCAAAAAGTGAGTATAGTATAGGTCTCGTTGCCTGGAAGCCACTCGTGTCAAAAACCCTTTGCTTTCCAAATAGAACACAACACAGTACCAACACAAAAAGGTAACAAACGCCAATACATGAGGCCCAAAATCCACATGTTCTGCCATGTGTTGCTGCTTGGCTTTTTGTTGCACTGTCACTTTTCTCCAGTGGGTACCCCTTGCTGGTTCCTATGTGTTGAAGACTGGCCCCCCAAGGCTGCGCATGGAATATGTTCTCCAAACGCCTGCTGCTAACTGGATGCAAAATCCAGCATGTCGGAAACTTGGGAACTGTTTCATTGGCTCATGACCCTCCTTGTAGTGCTCTAAGGTGCAGCGTGCTGGAGCGATGAGGACTTTATCGGATGGCAGTCGCGCTTGTCACGAAAAGTGCACGCGACCAGCGTAGTCCAAGTGCTCAATTTGACCAGAAAAAGCTTGATGCAATATCGAGCTGAGTGGCGCAATGCTGTTGAAAGCAGCAACTGAGGGCCTGGCTTCTTCCGAAGGCAGCATGTTGAAGAAGAAAGCCGCGATGTGGTGTATGTTGTGTGTGCCAGGGGGGTTCATTGATACCAGGGAGTTTGTGCTATAAGGCAAATGCTCTGAAACAAAGGTCGAGCACATTTTGATTAAACGAGCGCTGTTTGTCTCGAGCACTTATTAGTCATTAGTTATTAGTGTCCTTTTGAAGGTGTAGGTATACTGAAAGACCTCAAACCTAGCGCCGGGATGGCGCACAATCAGTGCAGTCCAGCTGCTGCTAGTTCGTCTAGAGATGTCTATAGTGTCCATCAAACATTAAAAAGCCAAATAAACCATGTACTCAAACCATCAGTTCGTCTATAGCTGCTCCATCAGTTGGTCCATCTACTCAAACAATTCAGCCAAATAAACTCCAAACAATGTACGTTGTTTCGCACTCGATGCTCTCCAGTGTCGACCGGCGTTGTCGGGTCTCTTCTCCAACGGGACACTCAGCTCTGAAAAGTAAAGAAATTGAATGTAAATTGATGGATGGACGTCTTCCACCTATCACCTCTTCGGTTCTCTTCATGTAGGAAAACTCCTCAGCTATGAGCCACTCACCACAATTCTCGACCACAATCTGAGACCCGGTCACCTTGTTGAACCCCCATGCCGTCGACCTTTCCGCGATACGTCCTCAAAGGCCCCGCACGGGCATTCTTCGCATCCAGCTCCACATCCGTGTAATCCTCAAGTTGATGGTCTTTGGATGTGCATTTTAATAGGAAGATCCCCAACCAATGCGTTTTGGATTTGGGTTTTCCTTCTTCCAGGAGGTCGAAGTGGGAGGTCTCCCCATTTTAACACCCAAATTTTGGGGTCGAACACCCAAACTCTCCACGCATGTTTGGTCCTTTGATCGTTTGGTCCACGCGGTTTGGTTTTAACCCGCAGGGAGCTAGGTGAAGGGAGCACACAGGGAGTACCTGACTCATGTGGTTTTCCTGGCGACTGCACCCGGTAGTGGTGGTAGTAGTAGTAGTAGTAGTAGTAGTAGAGTAGTTATAGTAGTTATAGTAGTAGTAGTAGTAGTAGTAGTAGTAGTAGTAGTAGTAGTA